AATTAAGACATTGCAGTATTATCATTTTGGGCCTTATTAAAAGTCAAATTGCAACTTTTAAGAAACTCAAGTGACTGTAAGTACAACAATAAGATGTCAATAATCAATGAAATTGATTAATTGAGAAGACATTTTCTTAGTACAGTTAACCAGGCTTTGTAGTGGTTTGTTCAGAACTGTAGTTCTGGTTAAGTAACCATTAATTGTGTCCTTTCAGTTACAATGACATACATTTTTGAAATACCTCTACTGTAGCTAAATATGGCATTTGTAATAGACAGCCAACATTAATTTTGTGATAGACATAGCCAAATTTAATTTTAGGATCAGTTAGGACAGCTACTGTTTGTAACAGGCATGGGTTCAATTACATGATGACGTAATTAATGAAATTACAATTACATTATGAAAATGGCATTGCCATTGCATGACGGTCCAATGTAATTAATTAAATTACACATTACCTTTCAAGTCATAATGATTTTTGAAATACAAACGTCAAAATAAATTATCATACTGCACAGATTTATCTCATGAATTTAACTTTATGATTCAATCTCTGTATGACCATGGTCAAGATATTCTTATTTTCTAGCTGTCCATCACTTCATAATTTGACAGTCCTGAATGTCAAAATAATTAATTATATTTAATATAGACTCCTATTGGGAAGTTCAAGACTATAAGCTTATACAGAAGTGTATATTTCTTGCACATAATCATAGCAATAAAGAAATATAGTTATTTATTTCCCTTACTCTCTTTCAGCAGGTGGATGTCCCTGAAGAAATGAAATCTGGAATGGTAGAAGGTATCTCTTGATTCTTCTAACTTGGAATTGGCCATTGTGACCAACAATGGATTTGAGGACCTTATGGTGGAGAAAAACGTCCTTCTTTCCGACCTCCAATTAGATGTTGAAGATGGTTAATCACTTGAGGATATGCTAACAACCATGTTGCCTTTTAAGGTCACAGTACTCTCTAAAGGCGGCAATATATTTACCATCACAAAAGAAGAATCAACAAATGGCAGAAACTAAACAAATGTGGAAAAGATCATTGTATGCTGCATTTGTAGTAAATTTCTTTACAATCTTCAATTTACTTAAGTAGAAAGATTCACTAGTTATACCAAGTTTATGTAGAAAGGCTCACTGTATACTGAGTTTGTAGTGTACATAGAAAGGTTTACTTATTTTTTTTTTCTGAGTTATGTATATACAATATATATAAAAACTTTTTGTAGAAAAGATCACCGCATACTGAGTTTGTTGTTTACAAATGTGTAGAAAAGATCGCTGTATACCGAGTTTATAGTTTACAATTGTCTAGAAAAATCACTGTATACTGAACATAATACGACTTCTGTTTAAAACCTTCATTTAAACTTAGACATGTATTTTTTTTTATTTATCTTAAAAGTCTACCTACAACAATTTTGTGTATGCAATCTTGTACTAGGATATTTACATGACAAGATTACATTGCTGATCAAAGCATGGAAAGAATACTGAATAAAGAAAACAAGATATAAGCATCTTTATCATGTTTTTATTTTTATTATTATCATTATTATTTTTCCATGATGTCTGTCCACATGGAATTTGTAAGCACTCTTGTGCATTCTTATACCACCAAAAGGGTGGGTAAATCGAATCAAGTTGTCTATCTGTCCATCCATCTGTTTGTCTGTCTGTAGACACATCTTGTCTAGACAACTCCAATGAAACTACAGTAATATTCGGGACAATGTGTAGATGTGCATGCACCATTTTCCCCTGGAAATATTGATTGCCATGGCATCTGGTCAATATAGACAGGTTTTGCATGTCGGTCAACTTCTAAACCTGTGGACCAATTTCAACAAAACTTCGCAGGAATATTAGGGAACATGTGCACATGCCGCTGTGTTTCAGAGGATGTTTTTTTGCAAAAGGTCACCATGGGGAGATAACTAAGGCTGTGGGTGATGGGGGTATTAGCTATTTGGATTACAGTTTCAGTTATCCCTGGGCAATGTGGAGAGGATATAGTAATGATTTTGAGGATTGAATGTAGAGGTCACAGTACTTGCATAAGTACTATATGATTACCTTGTAAACGCATTGAGACCAAGACAGTTAGTATACCTTAATCAAATTTGGAACATGTATCCCTTGTGAGGAGAAGTCGGTTTCTTTAGAAATTCAGGGTCAGATATCAAAGATCAAGGTCACAGTCAAAAAACGGATAGTTGCATGGGGGTGTTTTTCCATTGTATTACCCTCGTTTTTCTATCAAATTTCACAACCTAAAAGATATTCACATCTTGTAAATTTCAAGGTTCAAGGTCACTGTAAGGATGTTAAAAAAAATGATAATACAAGAGGAATAAAATATCTTGTGACAAGTTTTAGAGAACAAAGAATATATAAACATGAAAAATTGGAACAAAGTCAATATCTACTTGAAGATTCCCAGAAAAAGTACAAGGAGAATAAGACCAGGTTTTCTGGAAGAATAGGCATCTTCTATTTTAAGTTATGGTGACAAGTCATGTTTGTTTTAGAAAATTGGCACTCTTATGCAGTCTTTTACAAACAATCTGGAAAATGAAGCTGTCCAATATTTGTATGTAGCATGTTATTTGCATGATGGTCTAACTAATGGTCTTAAACCAATAGGATACACAGTCTTTAAAGTGATAATATGGTGTCCATGATCAACATTCCCTACAATGTATCCAAAGAAATGGACAACTTCCCTATCATTGCATCTTGGAGCCTACTTGGGACATGTATTACATAAGTAATACTACTATGCTTGTTATTTCTGATATCTGCTGGTCATTTTTTATGGGCTGCAATGATTTATTGATTGCATATAGTTGGTTTCAGTATATAGCAAGCTAATAACAAAGAATTTATTTTTTAATGGTCTTAGCATACCAGTACTTTCAGTACTTTGATTGGTTTATACTTTTGTGGCTGGACTCTTATCAATACAATTTTTTCACTATGTATTTACACATTTGTCCAGGGTATGATTTTATTCTCAATATTTATAACTACTGTTAAATTCAAATATTATATTTATAAATGTTGAGCAGATCATCTTTGAGAATTGACGTAATATAAAGAAGTGAAAATTCTGTGAACAATTGAGTGATTGTAATGTTACAGTGGTAGAATCTCTTATCTCAACATCTTTGTTCCATTTTTTGTTTTTTTGTTTTGTTTTTGGTTATATTTTTATTTTTATGTCTCTCAATTTAGTTAAAATGTGGTAAAGTTTTGTCATTCTGTCTCCAATTTATTGATAGCACCTACAGTAGACCAGTGGGATTAGTGATGGTTGGATGAACCATAGGGGCTTGGCACAAATTCCTAACTCTACAGTACACATATCAAAACAAATACAAAACCTTTTAATACATACATGTATATATACACAAAGCATATGGCAAGTTATTAGTTTGAGGACTTTGAAGGATGACAGGGACTAATCGAGACAAATGTTACTACTGGAAAAGGGTAGCATAATGCACCCCCCAAGTTGTATGTTTATTTACTCCTCTGATTATAATAAGAAAATACCCTGTCAAGAAAATAAACTGAAAACATGGGAACATTTTCCCCAAATACGAAAGATTACCCTCAAAACAAAGCTAATAAGTATATTTTTGAAATCATGCAATCAGAAAAAAGAAATATTTTATTCATGTAGTCTTCAATTATGTCACAAATTTTTATCCTATTCCTCTTTTGAATTCTGACCTAAAGGGATGTCTAAAATTTCTCTATTTTTAGAATAGGCCACTATTTCCCCCTTTTTCCACAATGGGTAATATTCCCGTATTTAATAAAGCTCAAAGAAAATTTTTATTGAATCCACATAATTTTCCATGTATGTTTTATTCGCTTATATTACTTTCAGTTTTATGGTTTTGAATCTTTTATGTACATTTTGTAAATATTGTATATTTTTTAGTAAACACTTGACCAAATTGTAATATGAGTCATTGACTCAAATTTGTTATCAAGTATAAATAAAGACTATTATTATTATTATTATTATTAACCCAAGAATAAACCAGAATGACATATTTATTCAGTAGTATACTGAAAAGGAAAAAAAGTACATGTACCTGAGTATATAGAAGCAGTATTTTGACCGTGGATGCTGTCACCTATTCATTAGTATCAGTATAGTTACTAAATTGGTTTTTGTTTATTGTTTCTATTTGTGGTTCCTCTGACGACTCCATTGTCATTACCACTGTACCTGGATTTTATTGTCTACAGTGACATTAGCTTGTGTCTGGTGGAATGAATAATTAATGAACGATCCAATGAACATTCAATTTCCCCTGTTTCACTAGTCTTCTATTTGCAGCTTTTCCAGGCACAAACCCGTAAATGACAATCAGGTCACACTGATCATAAAGAAGACAGTATTGAAACATGTATATGATTTGTTTCATATTGCAGATCTCCATGAAAAGCTCTATGTATAGAAACATCAGCCAGATGTATCACCTTGTACAAGGATTTGATTATCATTTTGTAGTAATGCTGTATGTCTTGCACTTGTTACATCAATTGTGTAATAGGAAAAAAAATTTGAAATGATACGCATTCTTTTTGTACAACAAAATATATCTTTTCAAGTTGATTCATGAAACAAGACTAAAATCAATGGGTTTTTTTAACTGAGTCTTTGATGAAATAAAATGCAAAATCAAAATTCTGACAAATTTTCACATCAACTGAAACCATGGACACTTCCTGCCAGTGACAGCTTTGCAAGGTGCTATGACATATGTGGTAATTGCTAAATTGAAGAGAAGCTGATAATAGGATAGTTTTGTGATTAAATTGGTTGTTTTCTGCATTATCAGAAATCTTAAAAAGCAGTCAAAATAATTAAATGTTTGAGTTAGATGTACCATTACAATACTTTGTAAATATATAAAGGCTAATTGAAGGGTAATCATGATTCTGTATGTACATATTTCAGGAACGGTCCTTACACATCCATCAAAATCTCCAGGGGGTTGTCAACTACATCCATAATGTCATGCAGCCCCTTCTGTCTTCCAGCTTTGTTTATGTACCGGTAAGTCACACTTTTACCCATTCTCAAGGTTGTAAGGTTTAAAAGTGTACAAGGAAATGTGGGTTAAATTTGAATATAAAAACACTTCTTCTAAAGATGTTTGTGGCTTAGAGAAATCACAGTTGATATTCAGCTTGCTTCAAATTGAAATGTTTTCTTAAAAATAAAGACTTATCTATGTGCATATTTATGAGGGCCATGTATCTTAAGTTTGTAAGTGAATTTCAAGAACTTACTAAACTGAAAATGTTGTGTGTATTGTAGAGGCTGACACAGATACCAAAAGGATTTGTAGAAAAAGTTGAATCAGAGATAGAGCATTTAAGGCCAGGTAAATAAAAATTTAGAGAAAGAAATATTTTCTCATTTCATCTACATAGATCAGAGAGACCAGATTCTCTCATGCTACAATTTTATTTCAGAAGAAAGTAATCCTTATTTGTTCTTCAAGTCTTGTAAAGAAGATGTCAATCAAACAAGAGAGAAAAAAGGATACAAAGTTTAATATTCAAAGGGGATCTACTTACAGGAAGTTAAGATGAAGGCACTTTGAAAATAGCTCGAACCCATGGACTGTAGATTTACAGTGTGAAGGAAAGATGTATTAAAAAATATTAAAGAAAATATGTTACAGATTGTGAAATTGGGATTTTATATTGTTTCTTTGTAGGTCACTGTTTTATGTACAGATGTGATAAAAAGGATTTGGAGGAAAAGTTAAAATGTTTATGAAATGAAATTTTGTTTGTTTATTTTTCTTAACCATATAGTTTATAGGAAAATTCATGATGAAGACTTCAAGACGATAGATCCTGCCACTTGTTCAGCCTTGGTCCTACCAGATCTGTGTTTTGTTGGAGAACCGACATCATCAGCCCATCCAAAACAACATTATACTCCCACCATAAGTGTTGAAATCAAGGTAAATGTAATTTGTCAATTTTGCTCTTGGTAATTATTTGTAGTTTGTCACTTTAAAATAGAAAAGAAAGAGGTGAATAAAGAAAAAATAAAGACAAATGTTCATTCTATAAGTTGCTGCATAGATGTGTATAGTGGTAAGATTTAAGCTCTGTTGTTTCTTCATTACAGCCAAAGAAGGGCTTCATGCCAGCCCCTGAAAGTCTAGTAAAAGGGGATTCAATTAAGGGAAAGGTCTGCAAGTTCTGCATGCATAAGAAATTAAAGGTGAGTTTTAGGGGAAAAAAAACAAAACAAAGAATGCAAAACCAAAATCTGTAACACCACAATAAGTCCAATAAGTATGTATTTTAATGTTGTATTGATGTGTGAATGATGGTGATCAAAGTTTCAACTTTTCACTGAAATGATGAGAAAATGTTTGATTTCCAGGAGAAGGAAGGTCGATGGAACAACAGCAGTAATTACTGTCCCCTTGAACTGTTTTCAGGGTGAGTGTGATTAAGGTTAATCATCAAAAATATCTGAGGAAGAGAAATAGATTTTTTCTTTTACTGGAATTTCTTATGCTTGAATTGTAACTTTATAAAAATTACATCATTTATTAGATTGTTTTAAGAAAATTGCCTTCATTCTATTTTTCTCTCATCGGTGTTGATGACTGGGAGAAATTCTGATAATGTCAGGGTCAGTCCAATATAGGAGATAATCTGTTTGTGTCATGGCCAATCTGATATAGGAGATAATCTGTTTGTGTCATCGTCAGTTTGATATTGGGAGTTAATCTGTTTGTGTCATGGTCAATCTGATATAGGAGATAATCTGTATATGTCATGGTCAGTTTGATATTGGGAGATAATCTGTTTGTGTCATAGTCAATCTGATATTGGGAGTTAATCTGGTTGTGGCATGGTCAGTCTAATATAGGAGATAATCTGGTTGTGTCATGGTCAGTCTAATATAGGAGATCTGTTTGTGTCATGGTCAATCTGATATAGGAGATAATCTGTTTGTGTCATGGTCAATCTGATATAGGAGATAATCTGTTTGTGTCATGGTCAGTCTGATATAGGAGATAATCTGTTTGTGTCATGGTCAGTCTGATATAGGAGATAATCTGTTTGTGTCATGGTCAGTTTGATATTGGGAGTTAATCTGTTTGTGTCATGGTCAATCTGATATAGGAGATAATCTGTTTGTGTCATGGTCAGTTTGATATTGGGAGTTAATCTGTTTGTGTCATGGTCAATCTGATATAGGAGATAATCTGTTTGTGTCATGGTCAGTTTGATATTGGGAGTTAATCTGTTTGTGTCATGGTCAATCTGATATAGGAGATAATCTGTATATGTCATGGTCAGTTTGATATTGGGAGATAATCTGTTTGTGTCATGGTCAATCTGATATAGGAGATAATCTGTATATGTCATGGTCAGTTTGATATTGGGAGATAATCTGTTTGTGTCAAGGTCAGTCTGATATAGGAGATAATCTGTTAGTGTCATAGTCAGTCTGATACTGGAGATAATCTGTTTGTGTCATAGTCAATCTGATATTGGGAGTTAATCTGGTTGTGGCATGGTCAGTCTAATATAGGAGATAATCTGGTTGTGTCATGGTCAGTCTAATATAGGAGATCTGTTTGTGTCATGGTCAATCTGATATAGGAGATAATCTGTTTGTGTCATGGTCAATCTGATATAGGAGATAATCTGTTTGTGTCATGGTCAGTCTGATATAGGAGATAATCTGTTTGTGTCATGGTCAGTCTGATATAGGAGATAATCTGTTTGTGTCATGGTCAGTTTGATATTGGGAGTTAATCTGTTTGTGTCATGGTCAATCTGATATAGGAGATAATCTGTTTGTGTCATGGTCAGTTTGATATTGGGAGTTAATCTGTTTGTGTCATGGTCAATCTGATATAGGAGATAATCTGTTTGTGTCATGGTCAGTTTGATATTGGGAGTTAATCTGTTTGTGTCATGGTCAATCTGATATAGGAGATAATCTGTTTGTGTAATGGTCAGTCTGATATAGGAGATAATCTGTTTGTGTCATGGTCAACCTGATATTGAAGATAATCTGTTACCACTTTGAAAACCTGAAATATCAATGATTTTGATAAATTTGTAACAATAATAGTTTCTATACGTTGTATAATACTTAAATTGGTAGGACTGAAGGATTCAAAATTAGGTATTTGTCATGAATGTACAACCACCAGTAAGACATATTGTTTGGGTTTATTTACAGGGACAGACAGAGAATGAAACACGCCCTATTGTCATTGTACAGTATACCACAAAATAACTTCAAAATATTTCATGTAAGTACAGATTACAAAGTAAGTTGGCATTTAAAGATAAAATGGCAACAGGTGACAGTTTGGTCTGTGACAGAAACTGGTGACAGTCTGGTCTGTGACAGAAACAGGTGACAGTCTGTTCTGTGACAGAAACTGGTGACAGTCTGGTCTATGACAGAAACTGGTGACAGTCTGGTCTGTGACAGAAACTGGTGACTGTCTGGTCTGTGACAGAAACTGGTGACAGTCTGTTCTGTGACAGAAACTGGTGACAGTCTGGTCTGTGACAGAAACTGGTGACTGTCTGGTCTGTGACAGAAACTGGTGACAGTCTGTTCTGTGACAGAAACTGGTGACAGTCTGGTCTGTGACAGAAACTGGTGACAGTCTGGTCTGTGAACAGAAACAGGTGACAGTCTGTTCTGTGACAGAAACTGGTGACAGTCTGGTCTGTGACAGAAACTGGTGACAGTCTGGTCTGTGACAGAAACTGGTGACAGTCTGGTCTGTGACAGAAACTGGTGACTGTCTGGTCTGTGAACAGAAACTGGTGACAGTCTGGTCTGTGAACAGAAACAGGTGACAGTCTGGTTTGTGACAGAAACAGTTGACAATCTGGTCTGTGACAGAAACAGGTGACAGTCTGGTCTGTGACAGAAACAGGTGACAGTCTGGTCTGTGACAGAAACTGGTGACAGTCTGGTCTGTGACAGAAACAGGTGACAGTCTGGTCTGTGACAGAAACTGGTGACAGTCTGGTCTGTGACAGAAACAGGTGACAGTCTGGTCTGTGACAGAAACAGGTGACAGTCTGGTCTGTGAACAGAACCCATAACCATCCTTATTCTGATAGAAAAGCAAAAACTCCCATCCTTTAACAGAAAGGCTAGAATTCTGTTACTGCCATGGAAATCATTAAGGGGTCCAGAGAGAAACAAAAATACTGTATTTGTCATGTAAATTGCCCTGGAGGTCAATTTACAAATAATGATCCAAAATCAGAGAAAGGACTTGTTGTAGGACATTGAAGTATAATTTCCTTGTTTGTATATCTACATTGTATATTGTATCTTAGGGATGTCAATTTTGAGAGATGTATACAAATATTTGTCTGATTCAGTATTTAAATATTCCAATATTCATTTTTAAGAGAATTTAATATGGTATGGAACATTTTGAAGACTAGTTTCCGAAATATATCACCTTGTGAGTTGTAATGCCCTTTATGATGTATTGGTCTTATTTGAATACTCTTACAAAACTTGGGGTCATTAATTCCAGGATGGAAGAGAAGTCTTTAGTGATACGGTAAAAGAAGATTTAGCAGGTCTTCTGCACTCATTCTTTGGAGATTCAGTCAATGGATTGACAAATGGACTTCAGAAACAGCAGTAAGTATTTACATACCTCTAGTCATTTCCTGAAGGTTTAATGTCATCTGCGTACACACATTCACAAGTTTGAAGATTGGTTTTACCTGTGATAGAATCACTTAAGTGTTCATGAAAAGCTGACTTTCACATTTAAACATTAAAATATATTTAAGTCCTTTTAAAAATTGCAAGATATACAATATTTAAATTCAGGAAGAAAAGTTTAACGAAATACTGACTGCTAATCCAGCAGCAGTTTCAGATTTGGATTTGTGAAGCTTGTTCCCTCTATATCTGTGGAATGGATTATGTTTAATCTTTATGAATATGTTTAGTATTGTTCCTAGTTATGTATGCAACATTGTTACAATAGTTAACATCTTCTTGAAACTTTACAAAAATATTGTGTCTGAGTTGTCACTGCTAAATATTGAGTTCTATTAGATTTCAAGATAGCTGTATGTGACCGTTTAAAATTTTTCACATATGATATGAATGTCAACTTTTTATATGACTATTAATGAAATCAATATTTAAGCAGAGAAGAGATCAAATGAATAGAACCAGCAAAATGTGGAATCTTTTAATGTAGAGGTGGTATATGGGGATATAATATCAACAATCAGGTTTTTATACATTTCAAAATTGAGTGTTTAAACTTTTTTTCCCTTTACTTAAAACAAGTGCATACATTTCCACTAATTGAAATTAATTTTATTTTTGTTTCAGTGAGCTACATACATTTCTAGATCTGATTGTAGATGCCCTCTTGTCTACCCCTGAGGGGACAAAACCTACACAAATTTGCCATATAGAATCAAAACAAACCACCTCTAGTAACTGTGTTCAAACTAATGGAGGATCAGAGGGTAAAGGTCATGCCAGTAATGAGGTCAAGGTCATGAATAGGACAAAGTTTAGCACTTCAAACGTTTGTGCTAAGAGTAGTTACCCAGATATAGAAAACTCTGAAAATGATGGTAAGTAACTAAAACAGGTTTTGATGTTATCAACTGAATAAGATATTTTCAACAAAATGATCATTCTTCAACAAATGTTTTTGACCAGGCTTTATAAAAATATTCCAAATTTGTCAACATTCCCTCCAACAGTCTCAATTCTATATCAGAATTCTAAAAGGTTGAGTTTTATTGCTTGAAATATGTCACATTACCTAAAGAGTTGTTTAAACGTGTTTGATATGTATGACAGTATTTGATTTCTACACTTGTTTTTAATTCCATTGCTTATAGCATCAGTGATGTTGACAGCACCTGATTCTGTGCTGGGACGAATACTATGTACTCAACAGTTAGACGACATGTCTGATATTGATGGAGTATTTCCTCTGTACCAAAGAGTCAAAGACCATCTGAAGGCCCACCCAGAGGACAGGTGAGATTTTATACCTGTACATCATTTGTCAAGTTATATCCTGTCTGATACAGGTGTAATACTGAATTTTGACGTTTATTTTCATGTGAGCAGCATATTTATGCAAATGTAACAAAAAAATGGAAGATTTACCAATTGAAGTTAGACATATATAAAAATGAGAAATGTTTTCAGATTTATCTATTTTGAAAGCTTACATGTATCAACTTGTTCTCAATTTTTACAAATTTTATCTGTGACAGGTGTAAATTTGGAGTATATGGTCCGTTCACTAGAGAGTTATGGTTAGAACCGTGTATACAAAGTTTAGAAACAGAGGACAAAGACAGTCTGGAATATGCTGTCTACAAGGTAAGTCAAAAATAGATTTGTAAATGGTTACCAAATAACACTCTTAACTTAAGTTCTACCTTGCAAGATTTATGATCATCCCAAGTTTGGAGTCATGTCAGAGAAATGAATGTTTAAGGAAGTATGCTACTATAATATAATATATAGGGTTTTTCCTAAAGAGTTACACTCCGAATACTAGTTTCTCTTACTAAAGGTAAATTGATTTTTGGTGAACTATTTGACCACACATTTTACCAACTTACAAAAGAGATGTATTTGAAACATTGCTGACCTTAATTAATTGTGGTTGATGTCAACATTTTGTGGTAGGGGTTTTTTGAAGTCTAACTTGGGTAAATTGTACCCCTCATGATTTCACTGTGTCAATATTGAAAATAGCTTTCTTTAATATTGTAAAAGAATTTGCAGCTTGATGTGATAAAGTTCTTGAAAAATTGAATTCATTCTAATATATATAATTGTATTTTTAATTTGTTTATATAGGTTAAGCGGTTCATTGTATCTAAAACCATGCAAGATTGTTCTATCATGGTTGCCATGCAGAGATGTCCATCATGTTCACAGTAAGTTTGATATTTCACAAATGTTGCTCACTTGATTGAACATTGTCCTCAATGTCAGGATATTCACTTCATTAAGTTTTGCATACAATTAGATTTTTGTTGTCATCAATCAAGATGAAAGGTCTAAGGTCACCAAAGGTCTAAGGTGATCGACTCTTGACTGCTTTTGAAGTAAAAAGCTTGTGTACAAGATATGAACAATTCGACGGATTTTCAAAATAAAAGACAAAATAATGATGAGAGTGTGGGAGTATGTCTATGCGAGCCCCATTTCTCTTTGTTTTTATCATTTTTTATTTGCTCTATTGACAAAAAGACTGTATGCAGTATTTTCCGGATATTTTGTACAATGGTTTATTTTTAATTATATGTATAATTATCAGTACATGCTGTTAATGATATTTCAGTATTTTTGTTAAATAATAGAATTCAATTATTTCTAGGAGCAAGACTGCTGGTGTTTCTCCATATCTCACAGATGACCATGGTCGTAAGTTCCACTATTCTGTCAGCATAATTGATCTTGATCCCAAACCATTCGACAAGTTAACAAAGTACAACCAACTGGAAAAAAATATTCTACAAGCTTACACAGAACTGACAATGTGATAAAAATCTACAGCTGTATTGATGTTCACTCACATTCATGTGTGTTCATGTGACTACCTGTCATTCTGAGTGCAAGTTTGTAGAGTTCAAGGTTACAACAAGAAGTCAAGGAGTGTCCTGTTGCCATAGCATCACATGCAGAATCTATTCCAAGGTTTACAAGGGATTATGTTTCTTGTTTAGTGGGCTTGCTATTGCATGATATACTAGTTCTATTACACAATATCTGGTGAGCTACTAAATTTGCTACTATTTGCTGTAGTGAGTTATCAGTTTTATTATTATTTGCTGTAGTGAGCTATCAGTTTCATTTCTACATGCTGTAGTGAGCTATCAGTTTTCTTACTACTTGCTGTAGTGAGCTTTCAGTTTCATTTCTACTTGCTGTAGTGAGCTGTCAGTTTCACTTCTACTTGCTGTAGTGAGCTATCAGTTTCACTGTAGTGAGCTAGTTGATGTAGTGAGCTTTCAGTTTCACTAAGACTTCATTAGTGAGCTATCAGATTCAAAGTACCAGTATATTTGTGAGATTTCTAGTGAGCTACCAGTTTAACCACTACTTCATGTAGTGAGCTACCAGTTTCACCACTACTTCATGTAATGAGCTACCAGTTTAACCACTACTTCATGTAGTGAGCTACCAGTTTAACCACTACTTCATGTAGTGAGCTACCAGTTTAACCACTACTTCATGTAGTGAGCTACCAGTTTAACCACTACTTCATGTAGTGAGCTATCAGTTTCACTACCACTTCATGTAGTGAGCTATCAGTTTTACTACTACTTCATTAGTGAGCTATCAGATTCAAAGTAACAGTATATTTGTGAGATTTCTAGTGAGCTACCGGTTTAACCACTACTTCATGTAGTGAGCTACTAGTTTAACCACTACTTCATGCAGTGAGCTACCAGTTTCACTACTACTTCATGTAGTGAGCTATCAGTTTAACCACTACTTCATGTAGTGAGCTACCAGTTTAACCACTACTTCATGTAGTGAGCTATCAGTTCAACCACTACTTCATGTAGTGAGCTATCAGTTTAACCCCTACTTTATGTAGTGAGCTACCAGTTTAACCACTACTTCATGTAGTGAGCTACCAGTTTAACCACTACTTCATGTAGTGAGCTGCCAGTTTAACCACTACTTCATGTAGTGAGCTACCAGTTTAACCACTACTTCATGTAGTGAGCTACTAGTTTAACCACTACTTCCTGTAGTGAGCTATCACTTTAACCACTACTTCATGTAGTGAGCTATCAGTTTAACCACTACTTCATGTAGTGAGCTATCAGTTTCACTACTACTTCATTAGTGAGCTATCAGATTCAAAGTAACAGTATATTTGTGAGATTTCTAGTGAGCTACCAGTTTAACCACTACTTCATGTAGTGAGCTATCAGTTTCACTACTACTTGATGTTATGAACTGTTTGTGTTACTACTGTTTGCTGTAATGAGCTTTAATTGCAATGGACTATCACAGTATATTAGTAGACTTGAGTGAGGAATTGTTCATTTAGTGCTCCAGCAGAATTGGTGCTATAGTTTTCCTTTTTGAACGCACACACATATATATTATACATGTAAAACAATTTTCATGGCCAACAGATGAAATCTGTCTTCAGTTTTAATAAGGTATAAGGATAGATGTTATATAACTGATTTACAGGGTACTGCTTGCTTGTCGAGACATAATGGAGTTTAAATTTTTAAATTATGATAGTAAAGGATATATTATGTTTCTACAGGGTAGTGCTAAACTTGTCTATAAAATACAAATATTTCATATCTTTAGATTTTATGTGATAAGCTCTGATGAAATAATTTTGGTTTCTGAAAACAGCACAAACAATTATCTATGTTTCCAGTTAATATGTCTGGTGTCAGTTGGTGTACAAAGTACACAATCTGTATGTTTATAAACTTTGATGTACGTTTTGTATGATTTTTTTCAATTAATTAACGTGGAATAAGCATTACAAGCTGAACAATTAATATTTGAACTTGATTGTGTGTGATCGTGCCATTGTGGTATCCAAAATGGTGTATTTTTACTGTTCTTATGCAATGTAGCATTTCAATATATTGCAGTCATTGGTGATAAATTTTTATAATGATAGGTTACACTCCATTCTGATAGGGTGATTTGCCTGTTGCTGGTGGCAAGCTTGCAATGGCATGTTATATTCAAGTGAGGTGCTTTTCATATATCTCCAAACCAGCACTCTTTTTTCATGATTGGCACATGCTGTTAATGCGCATGCACAGATGAGACACAATCAAATCACTGTGCTGCTTTGCTTTCAATTATTGGCATGACTGCCAGTGAGAATAAAGTATTCCCATCAATTCTATAAAACAAGGAGAAATAAATATGTCTGTGAAAATATTCATATATAGATTTAGATCATTACTGATATGAATATTTAGAGTGCTTAACACCATTATAATGATCAATGGTTTTGATTCACAGAGAACTGTTGTCTTATCCTACTGTTACATTTGAATTTACTGTCAGTGGTAGATAGAGGATGATTTCTTGGTTTCAGATCACAAACCAAACAAAGCTTGCTAATTACTTAATTTTTTTTGCCTTTTTGATGAGAAGTATAGGGATCTACCACTTTGTATACTATTTAATTGTAAGATATTTCTGAACTGTAGTTGGGATTCCTAATACTACTGTTCTAAGCAATTATAGGGAATAGATGTGTGGTGATAAATAGAATTTAAGAAATAATTGTCACATCTATACTGTGGAGTCATACCCCTATGAATAATTTTGTGTGTATTTATTGTAAAATAAATGTAAACAAAGTCTTTATGTTGTCATTGCATGTTGACTATCATATCATAAAAAAACTGTATACCTGGTAGTGTTTGCATATTTTATCGTATTTAATTTTGTTGCCTAGTTCAATTTTATAATTTGTATTAATATGTAAATTTCTGTTAACAATGACTAAGCATTGTCTTGTAAATTTTCATTGTACATGCATGTAAAAGCAATCTCTTATTAGTCTTTTTTACTCAATTATTTATATACAATATATTTAAATTAATTACCTTTATTTTTTCTGAATATGTAAAAAAAATCTTGATTCTTACTAAGTATAGATATGAAATATCTGATAAGTCCAGGATATCTTAAAATATGAATTCTTCTTGTGCTTTGTAAAAATCAAATAGACAATAAGTTAAAGTACAGGTAAAAATCTAGTGTATAAGTGTTGGTTAATGATTTAATAATGTCAAATTCTAAAACAATGATTACCATGGAAACATATCTACAGAATAAGCTGCCCTTTTAGGACATATTTAGATGTGATATGCTTTGGTGTACATTTGTATCACACAAACTATCACTATTAGTGAGTCCTAGGGAGGTTTCAGTTAATACGATATTTTTATTAATGATTGCCCACACAGAATTGTGGTTTGTAGGAGTTTTTATAGTTGAATTTAAGGTTAGAATATTTTGGTGACTGGAACATGAAATCTTAAAGCCCCTCAGATCAGACTGAACATGTCTTTCCAGATTTTAAACATATTGTGTACATCTGATAACACCTTTCAACTTCCTAATTTGAACTCCAGCTACTTTGGCCACACACCAGAACCTAGATACTAGATACATGTAAAAGTTGTCACTAAACATCTTTCTGTTAAAGTGTGCAGCATCTTGTGATAAGTTCTGAGGAATCATAGTGAACACATTTGACAGAAAATCTGTTGCTATGTGACGACATAATGCATAATATTTGATAAATCTGGAGAGTTGACCAATATCATTAGACTCAACAACCTGATGACTAATAGTCTGTTAGCATAATGCATGCTTTGTTGACAGAATGTAAAAATAGATCAATGTGTGAATATGTTGACATATAACAGGGGTTTAAAAAATACAATACACATCAACATTTGTAAATCAAAGAGTTTGTCAACACATTATGTAAACACAATCTATGTTAACATATTTGATAAATATGTGTTGACATTTTGTAAATATGTTTACAGAATGTGTAGATATGCTAGCATTTTTGTAAATGTTGACAAATTTCATAGGTAAAATGTGTGTCGACATAAAAAATAAGTTGACATTATGCATCAAAGCCTGTAGAATTATGCTGTCTTAAATATCAACCCATTATAAACCGTGAATGAAGTACATTAATATTATTAAAGGAAAATACAGTTGAAATCCATTATTTTATTTAATGCATGATTGTTGTTAAGTGTGAATTGTATATGCATGCTCAATCATATAAAATCATATCTATTGTCAGAAAAGGCCCTCCTAAAGTACATATATATGTACGAGCACTGGAAACCAATTAGTTTGTAAATCATATTACAAAAGAACATTTTAAAAGCCCTCAGGAAATTTCAGGAAAGTTCTTCAGAGAATATTTTTGTAGAAATATAGAGAATCTTACAAAAAATATTTCTATAACGTTGGATTTTAAAATATGCATTTAATGAATTATAGATTATTGATGAAGACTTATATATCATTCTGATGTATATTTTCAATGTAATTTTATTTTCTTGATCAAGACTTAGTAATTCTAGTCAAGTAGCTCACCAGCCGTGATAATCAGAAAATCAATTGTAAGAGTGTTTTATTCCACATAAAAAATCAAAGGTAAGTAAATACTTATTTTACCTCTCTCTCGGTTTATGAATATTTCCTGGTTGTGTGGTTTGTGGTATTACCAAAATCTTGAAGTGAAAGAGATGTAATCTTCACTGAAGGTATGAAACAGAATTATTAGGGATTCTTCTATCAATATTTTTAACAGGGTGCATATTTAGTCCATCCTCTAAAGCAGTGAAAAACAGAATCCCTCAAAAATAATGTTTACAGTATTTTGAAGATACAAAATCAGAATATTGAGAGTATCTTCATCCAAGACTGACATTCTAGTATTGTTTCTTTAATGATGATTTTGACTGACTGTTATTGATTCTAAATACTGAGGTTTCATAAGATGTATGAAGCCAGTTTTAGGACTTTTCAAAATTTGGTAGGTTTTCTCTGGAACTCTAGCTCAGATTCCTCCTATAGTAAAAGCACATTGTGCTGTGCTTTTTTTTTCATCTATGCCATCAAGAATTACTATGATATTCTTATGTGATAAAAGTTAATTCTTATTTCAGTTTTAGATTTGATTTTCATAATTTCACGTACAGGCTTATACTGTCTGGATAAACAGTATTATCTAGTCACTTCACAGAGCTCAGTATCAAATCATTTCATAAATGCCTTGTAGTTGTTGTACTCATGTAGTCCTAAATGGATAAGAAAAACACTTCACTTTCTGAGGCTGTCCAAGGACTGAAAGTGATTTCCTGTTTGAAATATATAGATTATCTAAGAGATAGCATGTTAACTGAGAAATTCTAGTCACAGAGATGACTCCTGGTTTCAGAAATAGTAAAGTTATACATTCTACTTTACAATGATGAGTTTACCCACTTTTGTAACAAGAAGAAATAAATGCATTAAAAAAAAAAATTTTTAACCAACAACCAGTATATGCCATGTGACAACAGAATTTTTTGTCATGTGATGGACCCACATCCCAATATTTATTTAAGGAGTTATAACACACTCTTGGGCTTTTGGGTAAAATATAATTAACAACTCAAGGACTAGGTTTTACAAGGATAGAAGTTAAATAGTTTAGATTCCAGGACCTTCATTATATTTGAAGGTCAAGCTTTCACTATTTGTCCTTAACTTTTAACAAGTGATAAACAATATGAAATAAGTGAGATAACATATCTAAAATTCAAATGAGATTACACACATATCATTTACACTGAATCTCATACTTGGGGTTTTTGTGTGGCAATTTATTGCCACTGGAAAACCTTGATATACTGCCACTTCCCTTACTGCCAGTACATTTCACTTTCTCAGTTTTTGCTTCTTTCCCTTTATCTCATCAAATCCATTCGTAATGTAATGGAAAATTGTAAGACGGGGTTTGGTAGACAAATGGTGGTAGTCATAACCAGATTTACTCTTCGTGGAATATATGCGCAAGCAAAAAGTCAAATTCAAATATTAGGAGATGTTTAATTGTTAAAATTGTACTCCAATTTGTTATAAAGCAGTTGGAGGTACTTGTATTGTATATTTTTGTTAAAACTGTAAACGAATGATGAATTTTCACAAATCAAACTGTTATGTAGAAAGTTAGCTTTGAATTTTTTTTAATATTACTACATGTAGTATGCAATGTATTGGATTTATTAACATAGTTATATAATTGGTTACTTTTTATCTTAACTTTATAATTGATTATTAATCATAAATTCCATGCATACTCAAAGTAATATTCTTGATACTCAAGATTCCACTTCAGTATTCCTTTCAGCACAATATTCAACCTATATAAATAGATGATGAAGAGGTTGTAGCAGAACGGGGTCTGAACAATTTCACTATTTAAAAATACAGAACATCATTAAATCCGGAATTTGTAAATTTATGCTGAATGAGTAGAAGCACCTACTGAGATATCTAGAGGTCATGGGGAAGGTCATTCAGTCATGTAATTTTCCTACGTGTGTATAATTCAGTGACTTACAATTGGTATTTGTGAAACAGATGTATGGTACATTCATTTTGGAAATAAATTCCTCATATACAAGTAGTTCAGCATTTTGGTCATGAAATTAACCACATTTAGAAATAAATCCCTCATATATACAGTGGTTTCACCATAGTGGTTGTCTGACCTTTTAAAGAACACTCAACATCGTATTTGTATGTAAAAGTTCTGAAAAATTTCATCATTTTTAAATTAAATTTTTCAATGTCATTTATGAACACAGTTAATCTTTTTAACTTTATAATTTGTGAGTGATGTATGGATTCATTGAACTGTTGTGTGCTTTGATTTAAATAAAAACCTGTTTTATTGCCTTAAAATCAGCACAAGGTTTAGCCACAATGTATAAATTAATTTGGGGTTGATGCCCTCTACTTATAAAGCTCAATTATGTAATATCATGATTTGATATCATCTTATCTTTCACCTGTACCTGCTTTCACAACAGCCATGGTATGAACCGTCTACACTCATTTCATCCTCAAATCAATTTCTAAATCAATAAAACATAGTTCATTTGTATTTTACCTGACTAGAGATAGCGTAAAAAATATAACTATTGCTGAAGTTTTTAAACAGTATTACTATTTATCTGAAATGACGATACAGAAGCTGAATACATAGCACCAAGTTTATTACGCTATGCATGTAACAGGAAATTTGCTTTAAGGTAAATTTCTAATGTAAACATTTTTTTTTACATTTACCCCATAGGATGTTGTTATTGATAGCTGTTTCACAAAAGAAAATATATTATTACGCCTCTCTAGTATTTTCAGAATATGACAAGGAAATATTCTAAAACAGTACCATTCAATAAAATTAAAGTTTGTTTAAATCAACATTTTTTACTAACAATCTATTTTAATGTCCTGTGTCTTATAACAATGCAACGGCACTTACGTGTTTTGATGACTTACTACTTCATCAGGTATCAGTGTATAAGCATTTGTAAGAAGCAGACACATTGTGTGATGCTGATCATATTTGAGTAACACTGATTCTCGGGTGTGGTAAAAGTGCTTAATGAATGACACAAGTGTTACACGAGTTATATGTCTCATGGATTGTTCAGTTAATATGTATACCGTATTGTGTTGCTTGTGTAATAACTTTTTGAGTTCATGTTGGAATTTTCTCTCTTTTGTTGCCTATATATATACATATATAAAAGATTTTTTGTTAAGCTTCATCATTTCTTGTTTACTATTGTTATATGAGAAAATAAAGGTAATTACATGATGACCTTATGCCAATGTTTCCTTGTCTGTTCATAAAGGTAGATTAGGTTCCACAGGTTTAAAGTACATTTCGTGTCTCCAAATTACAATTCTTAAGGCAAGGAATACTAAATGAGTGAAGATTAATTCTATATATGAGTTTGCAATATTTTTCCATATAACAAGAGGCGTAATGGACCTTCATGGCTCCCCTTGTATTAAATGTTTTTTTACAAATACACATGTACATTATCATTCACATCATTGACATTCATCCCAACAGCCCTTCCTTCCAAATATGATTCTAGGTCATTTGGTTAATAAGAAGTTGTTTTAATGTTTCAAACAAATTTGACCTCCACCTTAAATTGAAGTTGAGGTAATCTTTTTGCAAACCTTTTCAGGCTTCATCTAAAGAATATTCCAGCAAAATGTGGTTCTAAGCTATTTTGTTTCATCTCCAGTTATTTGAAGGTTTTTACAAAGTCGGCCCTTGTGACCTTGAAAATGAGTCAAGATCATTTCTTTTCACAACCTATGTTGGGCTTCAGCCAACAAAACTGATAGTCAAATATCAAGATTCTTGTCCGTTTGGTTATCGAAAAGAAGTTGTTTGAACATTTAAACAAACCTGATCCCTGTGACCTTAAATATAGATTAATCTGAAACCTACAATGGCCTTTTGGCTAATCAGAAGTTGTTTGAATTTTTTTACAAATTTTACCCCTGTGACATTGATTATGGGAAAAGTTTGCTTTTTTTCCCCAAAAATTGTCTGGCTTGATCCAAGAAACTATATGATATGAATATGATTCTAGACCAATACTTTCATCAGAAATCATTTAAAATTTCGTCCCCTGTAACCACAAATATGGGCAAAAGTTATTTCTGTTCATAAACTTTGCCAGGCTTTATCCCAGGTAACTTCCAGTCAAATATAAAGATTCCAGGTCCTTGACCTTTAGTTGAATATATTAAATTTTAAGACTGATTTAAATAACAAGGTTCCCATCTGGTAGTCATCTTTAATTTTGAAAGTTAAATATTTTAGCATTATTTCTGGTAGTACTACAAGTCATTGGAAAAATAAGGAAAGGAGGGGGGGGGGGGGGGAGGGAAGGTTTCCTTCATGTCTAAACTTAAAGAGACTGGTGACTGACAGGCAGAAATATTTGTTGATACCCTTTCTCAGATTGTATTAGAATAATCCAAAAACTCCATGTCTGTTACCTTTCAGCTATTGTATTATATTATCTAAGGACAAATAAGGTCCTGCATCAGTTGATATTTTGACTGAATATTTATATTTCAGAAAGTACTGGTGGCATTAATATCAGATTTGATGTTGGTCTCTTCTAGAAAGTCCTAAATCTTTCTGGAAGGTTTCTTTTGCAGTCCATATAGTGGATTGGGGAAGTGACCAATCAAAAAAAGTCACAGAAAATTCATTAGAAAGAAGACATCAATTCAGGTTCCAACCAACAACTTTATTCTTATAAAAAGTATAAAAACTAAACTCTCGGTTTTAATAACAAAATAAATATCCACATGATTACACCACATTCTAACAAGTATGGTGGAATGTGTAGCAGATCAAACACATTCTGATAATGACCAGGAATTTGGGGAAAAAAGGGCAAACCCTGCAGAGATGATGGACATTATTCACCACAATAAAGGTAAGTATATGGAATATCTTACTCAAAACATTCACCATGTAATTGACAATTAGTTGTTTGGAAAACACTCCAACACAACAAGTAAAACTGGACACCACGAACATAAGCATATTGTACCAAATAAACATTCTTCACATGTTTAATCTACATCAAATGTAGTCTAGGGAACATTGGTTTTCTAATCTAGAAACTTTTGATAACAAAAAATTGGCAAAAACTACAAATAGAAAATTAGCTAACACTGAAAGAATCTACAAAGGAAACACTAACAAAAATTAAGGTATTATATAAAGAAAACAATCAACAAAAATGGAGAATAAAAAAAATGGAGAGTCGAAAAAAAGTATCGTCGAAAAAAAGTATCAAGTTAATTATTGTCATGTATAAATCAAGAATAGGTAAGAAAAATTAGGAACAACACAAATTTTTAGGGTACTTATATTTCTTTTAATTAGAAATAATGCAAATAAATCTGTTTTTGGAAATAAATGTCTGAAACTTTGACCTACACATACAAGTTTTTTCTTTAAAACTCACATTTTGTCTTTGGTCAATATGAGGAATGTTGATAAGATAGGAAAACAAATTTTTCTCTAACAAGGTACCATATAAATTATAAGTTATAACACATGAAAAACTCCGGAAAAATTCTTTCAGGAGTGATAATATACAATAAAATCAATAATAAAGATTTATATTTGAAAACAAAAAAGGCACTGAATTTAATAACAAAGGCAGGTCTTGATTAACTACTGCCACGAAAAGAATGATAATCATATGTTTAGTGTACAGTACTATACACAGTGAAATCAAAGTAAAAACACAATATTATCAAACCCTGTTGAATGATGCCAGGCAATAGAAAACACCGTGGAATAATCATATTTCTATGATATTCTATCAAGCATTCTGCAATCATTCATTCCCAAATTTGACAATCAATGAAAACAAAATATTTTCAAACATCAACATAAACATGTATATACATGTACTTTAAAATAATGATCAACATTTACCCATTCTAAATTATTCATAAGTGGATCAAGAGTAAAATATTGTGATTCATGTGAAGTGTGCACAACTGAAGAATCTACATTGACATATGGAAAGAAATTACCAATAGGTTTCAAAAACTGGAATTGTGGAACAGCTACAGATAATAAGTGTAAACACACATACCTTGTGAAGAACGAAACACAAAAGTTGTACAAATATGTTTTGAAATATTATAAGAGCGCATACAAAAATGTTATTATCAAAACATTTATACATCACATGATATGTTATATGTAGTTTCAGCCAGATTCAAGACAGCATTCAAATTAAACATATCATTTGATGACATGAGTACATGTAACTATCGGGAAAAAAAAAGAAATAAAAAAAAATCTAAAATTATAAGATATTTTTTACCATAAAATCTGATATTTGGCAGTATATATGGGTTAGAAAACTACCAATAACAATTGAATATACCAAATACACAAATATTGAAATTGTCTGCATCCCAGAATCTGCAGATGAACTGAAAGGACTTTTTTAAGTTCATTTACCACTTCATTTGATTAGAAAGAGCACTTAACAATTTTTCCTGATTGAGATGTCAAGTCACTGTTATTAAATAAGACAGCCAGCTACCATTGTTGGTACGGTGCACATCGACCGTGAAATATTCTGAAGGAACCATCACTGTCACCTGTTAGCTCTGCCCAGAAGAAAGCTTTCACACCCATAAAACCTTCTGTCCGGATCCTGTTAGCAAGAATTTCATATCCTTCAAAAAGAAATTGCAAAAACTTCAGAGAATTCTTATCCTCCATACAATACTCTATATCAATATTTGAAAACACCTTGTGTGTAATACTTGCCCAAATGTATAATTAGCCAGCCTTCAACCCCGACACTCCCAGGAATTTTTAATAACACTAAGGACAATCTGTCATTTTGCTTCAACATGAATTTTCACCCTTTTCCAGTCAACTTCCTTGTGAGCAACCCCAATACATTTAAAAACATGGGAATACCAACCTTCCTAATTTTTTGACAAATATCATGTTTTATGAATAATGACATTACCATAGCAACCAGAATAAAAAAATGGATTTTTTTTTTTTTTTATACACATTGTGTAAGTTCTGATGTATTGAAGAAGTGTCTAAATTACAAGCCTTATTGAATACTGATGTCAGAATTAAGTGTAGGAGAAATATAAGATAAACTTTTCAAAATGTTTATTCTGTATATGATTTAGTTGTCATAATGACTTAGAAGTTCAAACTTGGTTGGTCATTTGAATGTCTAGACATTTTCACTTCACTTGTGTGGTTTGTAATTGAAAACCGGAAGAAACAACTGAAAACATCTTGATGTCAACATAATCATAACACAAACTCAAATTCAATAAAATTAAGGCAAAATAAGAACAAATGAAAGGTTTACATAGAGACTACTGAAAAAGTAAAAGGAAAAAGAAAAAGACCAGGTGTTCTGGAAGAGTAAGCATCTTCTGCATCAACGACAACACTTGTCTTGTTAACCTTAGTCAGTCCAAGTCAGTAATGTCACAGTCTCTAGCAAGAATCAGGTATACAACAACGAAACAATGGTTAATTAAAGGGTATCAAATATGTCCAGCTTCATATCACACAAAGAAATAGAATATCTCTCAATAAGATCACCATGGCAACTATTAGACATCCCCATACTTTCATAAACCTGCATTTTTTGAACGCATGTGTTATGAGTTTGTCTGTCAGTTGACGACTTCTTGTATTGAAATCGTGATAATGGGAACAAACCACTGAATATCGAATCAACTGTGACATAGGTTGGAGATGCAGGGATACTGCTATAAAAAATGGAAAATTCACAATAGCGAAATTGAAATTGAAATCATCATGTGTATCATAAAGCTTGGTGGAAAAGTTTTTCATGTTGGTTATGTTTTAGGAAAATATCCAGATAAGCAGCTGATGTAGCAAAAGTCTGCCATGTCTTTGATTTCCAGTTATGGTGGGTATATAGAGTGGGCATGGTCGATAAATTTCTTGTTACTCAAAGACAAGACGTGTTCCGATTTCAGCATCTTCTGCTTCATCAACACCTGCTTTGTAAATCTTGGTCAATCCAAGTAAGTAATGTCACGTTCTCATTTGAGAATTAGGTACAGCTATTGATTCTACTTCTTGAGTATCAGTATTACAATAAGACTGTAACCCAGATTTCCTAGTTCTAAGAATGGTAGTGACAAAGGTTTGGTTTAACAGCCAAACTGAACTAAAGGCTATTATAGAAATACTAGTGTATAGTGACCTGGTAACGATGGCAACCAAAATTTCGTTTAAGAAAATCTGCATGTAGAAATGTTCCCCAGAAAAACCAAAGAATAAAACCAAGGAATAAAGCAGAAAATTGAAATGAAGATAAAGATCAAGTAATGGTAGCTTTTTATTTTTCATTATCTGTGCAGAAAAAAACATAATCAAAGATTTATGGTTTTGTATTGTTTAAAGGCCTATCAACTGCTATGCTCATCTAACAAACAGCTTCCTTATGTCAGTGAGCCAAGTGCAAGTAGTTGAAGGCTTATTCCTGTAAGCCTCTTTGTGATAGTAAGGAATTTAAACTGCAGCATAATTAAATCTTCTTTTATCCAAGTCTTGAACGTCAACTATGTCAGGTAAAATCAGAAGCCTATTTCTACTTTTCCTAGTTGTTTCAAATGCTACAAGATACATGTTTGTATCTATTTTGATATCTGATTAATATGTTTGTCTTGAATTATAACGTATATTAGCCTTGCTGTGATGATATAGCATTTTTCTCAGAAAGTTCCTTATAAATCTTTTCAAAACAAACAGTGTAGTAGAAATCTCAATTTTCGAATTGATCTTACTGACTTTTGTGACAAATATTTTCTGTTTACTTAGATTTTTTAAAAACAAAACGAACATTTGAGCTATTCACAACTGAAATATCACCGTAGATCGCAGTAATTTGTAAATCAGAGGCACTAAAAAATATTGTCTGACAAATGTACCTTTTATGATTCATCATTTTAATTTATTAGTATTATTTTTGCTGTGAAAATGAGATTCCCTTTTCACAGTCCAACAAATTGGCTTTGTCAGACTTGTCAGTGCAAAGACACATATATTTAGTAGTAAATGGGGCACAGGCAAATAACAAATGGATGGCTTTCACAGCTCAATGAATAAACACAAAAGCTATTATCAGAAAGGCATCCACTCCCCACCGTAAGCAACATGTTCCTGCACAAAATGCCTGTCCATAATTTTGAATCTGAGACCTAAATGTCTCTGTTTGATCATGTTTGATTGGGAAGGAAGAGATACCATTTGATAACTTGTGTTTTACTAAATAATTGAAACAATACAGCAATAATGAAATTTTGAAATTACCACAGGTAACACTCCTTATAGTACACTAATAATTGTCCATTCATTATTATGTCAATTCTGATAGGAGGGATGAGGAGTGGGGATAAACAGGGCCTGCAGCTGGGGTGTGAATGTTAGCTGCCCTCAGGCATATAACAATTCGTACCTATGTCCTGAACAGGGACACTAAATGATAATGAGACAAGTGGTACATCGGCCATATTGGGATGGTGTAGACAAACATCTGAAATATGAGCTGTGCACAGATAATGGCAATATTGCGAGAAAATAATTACTCCGTGTTCATGGGAGGGGATATAAATAGCCATGGTATATAATGAATTTTTAAAATTATTTAATCAATTTAGAAGATCTTACTTGAGTTACTCAGTATCTCCCTGCATATTTATCTAGGTATATGTACAAACGTGTGTGCACTTGACTGTATCTTCATTAAATTGGGATATGGAATAAATTTCGAATTGAGATGTTCTGTATAACCTTGCACAGTACAACAATTGTCATTACAGCCATTACATAAAGATTACTTTGTCTGATAGTTATTGACACGGAACTGTTTATACAAATAAGTTACAGAAACATGGATACTCACTGAGAAATAAATGAAAAACAAACCAAGCAAACAGATAACAAAGCAATTAGCCGTGACTTGTAAGTTATCAATTCCGTAAACTTTTTTTTCTGAAAATTATATTGAATAGCTCTTATATTTATTATTGTCTCGTCCTACCTCTTGAAATTCCTGAACATATCTTAAAGCATTCTGAACCCAGATAAAACAAAATCAAGAATAAATGTTTCTGTTATAATCATGGCTGCATCGTACACTTCTTGTTAAAAATTATTGTACATGTAAGTATCAACGTCAACATAATATGTACATTGTACATGTAAGTATCAACGTCAACATAATATGTACATTGTACATGTAAGTATCAACGTCAACATAATATGTACATTGTACATGTAAGTATCAACGTCAACATAATATATACATTGTACATATAAGTATCAACGTCAACATAATATGTACATTGTACATGTAAGTATCAACGTCAACATAATATGTACATTTTACACTTCTTCAATAATGCTCACATGATTCGGCATCATTGTTTTCTTCACTGTAAGTGAATCGGTTGGTATATATTCACATCAATGGCTACAAATGTCGTAAACTTTGAAATTGTTTATATACCAACAGAATGTATAGAGTGATAAACAAATGAAGAAAAAAAATAAGAAAAATAGACATCAAAACAAACATAAAGTCCAGTGAACGTTGATACTCACATACTGTTTTAATATCATTTTATTATTTATATATTAACAGCAGTCTGTCTTAATGACTCATCGATACACATACATTGATGCAATGTTTACCTGTGCAGCAATGGGACTTTATGTGCCATTTTCATCTAAAAATGACACAACTAATTTTTAATTGAAGTTTGTCAAAATTATATCAATGTGTTAGAAAGTTACTATACTTGATAGCCAGAGGCATACATTGGAAGAATTATACATAATATTGCTTCTATTTCACACTGAAGTTGTCAAAATAACTGTTTTGTTAAAAATTTGGTAAGACTTTGAAGGAGATTCGTGTGTGACTTTCAACTAAAATGTGACACAACTAATTTTCATCTGAAATTTTTTTAAATTATATATATTTGTAACGAAGAAATGTTTAATTTACTGATCAGAGGCATACATTTAGAAATTTGGATTTTGAAATCATGTTGAAACAGTCAAATTTCGTCCTCTTACTCGTTTTGGACATTAAAAGGTATTTATTTATCTCTGTTATCTCATGTGTTAGGGGCTCACTTTTGGTAACACACAGTGTATAAATGCATCTTTAACAGGCTCCCTTTCTTCAAAGGAAGTTAAATCTTCCATAAAGGTAAGTTTCTGTTACATGAGAGGTAGTTCTGCATTTAATACAGTAAGTAGGATGTTTTTTTTTGTGTTACAATCAGTTACATGTTGTTTATTTTATCCGGGGTTCAGTTTTTCCATTCTTACAGAGTTGATCAAGTGAATGAAGGGCGCTTATACAGTGCCAACATACCGTCATAACTAACTTTGACTTGGCAAAAAGTTCACCTCATCAGACCACACTATAATAAGAACACACACACTAGCTATTACTGCTAACTCAATTAAAAGATAATGGTAGAAAGAAAACAATAAGAAGCAATTTCGTATTCTGTCATTCCTATAGTACCAAGCCAATATAACATTCCTAACTGGTACATATGTTCAGGACTCCACATAGGAGAATTGTTAATTGATGAATATTTTGTGTAGATGTCATGGTATATATTAATGAGGACCAAGTTCAAGACAAGATGTGTACATTTGTTGATTAACTCACACCAAAAAAAACCCCCAAAAACAGAAATACTTGGTATGACATCAGATTAATTTTCTTAAACAGGAGGTTCATGAAATACAAATTGGGTTTATCTGGTATCAAAAGAATTCATGAAAACCTGTAAATTTGGTATTGATCAGTATTACAATAAGTACAAAAGATGTAACATAAGCATTAAGCTGATGTTATATGTGATTTTACAGGCAGCAATGTTCATAAATTGCTCTACCAACTGAGTCAAAGAAGCATACTCCATCAGCAGAGTGACACAGACTGTATTTAACACAATATACACATCAACCCACTCTTATTACACTACTCCCCAGGGTTTTTCTTAGGTTTCCTAAATCTCAACCTGAGACTCCTAAATACCACAACTCATGGGATTAGGTTGGGCACCAATGTAAAAGTACAGGGAAAATACACATTTCTGTCGAGTGCCCCAAACAGGACAGAGACTGTATTTCATACCGTATACATGCCACACCAACCCAACTCCTATTTCAGATATGTTTTCCTGACAATTAAAACTAGACTTAACAACATGAAAAAGTCAGTGCTAATAATTGATATGATTGAATTATTCTAACACATCAATAGGCAATGACTGTGATCCCCACATCATTAGGTGGAGTAGCCTTCAGAGCAGATATATGTTAATCACAAACTGGCAGGAGTACACAGTATGATGTAACGGGGTGTTCTCTGATACACCCGATGTAACAAGGGAAAGGTGAAACAAATGTGAATGTTCCCTCCCCTATCCTCCCCAGCCTGTTACCTGTTATGAACCATGAAGGTGTGAACTTTACAAAGACTCTCAAATTGGTGATGTCAGATGACGCATTTAGCCTCCTCTGCAGAGTAGGATGGGAGGTTCCCTACATGCCCACTTTTTACATTACAAAGAATGGTATTGTTTTAGGAAGACAATAGCAAAATAATTAGTTATTTCCAAACAAACCATACATTTCACCAGAGTTCCTTTACCTGTGTTTTTTTCCCTGTTTTATCTGTTACTAAAGATATCATACTAGTTACTATAAATGATTTGTTTTAAATTAATTCTTTTAAGTGAATAAAACAGCAGAATACAGAGTAAAATTGCCTGATATGAAATACATACAATATATTATGTTTCATGATAAACATTACAAATATTTTAAAATTATTTTTATACACATAAAATGTATATGCCTCAAGGAAGCCTCAACCTGTATAGATAAATGTGAATAGCCACTGCATGATATTACGTGTCACACATATATTACCTCACCCACTCAACATCCCATATTGGTATTTGTATAAGTATGAATGAACTGGGACCAACAGTCTGTGATCAATATAAAGTCTATACAAGTATAAAGATGGTCTACTCTAGTATGGGTGTTAGATCAAAACAAAGAGATCTAAGATATTACTAACTACAATTTTGTCAGTTTTCATAACAATCTGCCTGGACTATTTCATAATGAGGAAAACAGGGAAGACCAACTGCACTGGATGTTCACTACTTGAAATTAAAGAATATAAAAAAATAAAATATATAGAAATATTGGAAGTCTGCATGAGTGATGAAGAAGATGTTCAAGCAACCCTGAAGAAATATGGCCTGTCATTAAACTTATTGTCAATGAACACAATGGTTGCTGTGGTCTTGTTGCCGGTTGTTATCAGCAAAAGCCCTGATGTGGGAAAACATCATATTTTCAATACAATGTGTTTATGCAACTATGGTGAGATATTAACCATGACTTTAGTGGTATAAGCCTTTTGTAAACTAATTATAACTCATTACATATCATATATGAGAACACAATGATTTTCGTAGACTTGTCGCCAGTTGCTTTCAGCAAAAGCGCTGATGCGAGAAAAACACAACGATATCAACATACTAAGGTGAGTAGTATATCAATTAACACAAGAGTGCCTCGGAACTGTATGTGTCGCCTGCATAAAGTGTCATGGTCACCCAGAAATTGAACTGGATGTGCAACGATCAACCATAAAGTTGTAATACCAAATTTCATTTCTATAACTTGAAGCATAAAGGGAAAACTGCGCAAAGCAATATTCCTGAGAAATTTTCAAAGTTGAAAGGGGCATAACTCTGCCAAAAAGGGTCACAGACAGCAGGGAATCTATCTTAATATGTACCCTTGCAACAAAAAGCCATATGCCAAATCTCATTTTGATAACTCACAGCATTACCAAAAAAAGTCTGGAAAACTTTCGTACGGACGACGATGACGCATGACGACGGACAAAGTGATCCCTAAGTGACCGCCAGCTCTACAGGCGACACAATAAACTGTGTGGACATCAAAACAAATCAAAATTAGATGGAACACCTATATCAATGAATTAATATTTTTTAACTTGTGTAAGTTGGGTACAAACATTGCTTTATATGCACAATAATCTGATTGTCAAATTTATGTCTCCTGAAATGTTGAAAGGCCATAATAGCGAACGCTAAACCTGTTAAATGAATTAATAATTAAAGTCAACTTTATATATTGGAGTGTTGTTATTACTGATCTTTACAAAATTGGACATTTGTTTATTTAATGAAAAAATGTATGATTGACAGCTGAAAGTTGATGGGTTAGAATTACAACACATAATACCATAAAGTGCTCACTGAGCTCGCAAATAAAAGTTGGTCCCAATAGTCAATGTTACAAAAATTTCAGGAAACCGTCACGAAAAAAATGTACATAGTACACATGGAGTAGGTACATTTACATGTAGGGTGCAATATCGCAAGTGCTTCATGCCTTATCTGACATTATATCACAGGAAGAATGCAGGTGTATAATCATACAAGGGCTTGCTGTGTAGTCTGAATAGGACATACATTATATTGGAAATGTGTCATCTCAAGGAAAGGATTTTCCAGCTTTGCTACGGCAATGATCGTAAATAGAGGCATGTGAGTCGAGTAAAATATCTCGTTTTTTATGAATATACATGTGGAATACAAACCGGACATCCACCATGCACACAGCATCATCAATCCAAGACGTTCGGAAAAAATTGTCTTGTATTTTCAACTCACAGAAAGCATAAGAAATATTTACCACAAACAAAAGTTGTTCGGCATTTTCTCCAAGTTTATGAGATACAATCAGTAGATCAATACCTCCACAAATAAGAAAGATATGACAGTTTTCCCATCACTGACGTCACAATGTTGGGAGTTAAGGGGTTAAATTTATCTGTAGATAAGGTAAGTTTTTCCACAGATATCTATCAAATACCCTCATTAATTATGTACGAAATATAGATTCCTTACCATGGCAAAAGAGGCTTGCTATCAAATGTATTTGCCATATTTTGAATAATTAAACTATTTTCTCTTTTGTTTTTTTGTGCAGATATTGCTTAAAAAACAATAAACCCACCACAATCTTATACATGTTCAACTGTATGTAGCTTCCTCATTATGTGCAAAAATTACTGTAGCACACCCCATGTAAATTAAATTCAGTAAATGTTGGTCCATTATAGAGCAGCCAGGTAACAGTGGTCAAAAGAAAACCAAATTTACCGTATTAATCCTGCATTGAGCCCAGGTGTCTACATTCAAAGTGGGAGTGGGCTTATTATAGGATAACAAAATAGCCTTGGTCTGTAATTCCATTGAACTTTGACATTTGTTGGTTGGTTTCTAACAAAACATGCATGGACTTCTTGTCAGAGAGTAGTGTACCTTTATATCTCAGAGAGCAACAACAACCAAGCACAGTCATATTTCAGCACAAGGTTTTCAGGGCAAAACTCACTATCACAAGATTTATATCATTGGACCATGTAAATATATTGAAGGGGTGGGTGGGGTATAATGATGGTAAGGACTAGAAAATTATTGTTGAATACCTTTCTCTTTAGTGTAGACGAAACCTTCCACAGTTCGGTCAGCATTATACACCATCATTTCTCCACACGGTAGGTTACCTGATTGATGGTGAAAAGATCAATTAATATTAATTTGTCTTTCAAACCTGAAAACTAATTATAGCCCTGGTCAAAATATACCCGTACTTAAAATCAAAGAAAATAGGTCTACTGTAGATCAGGTCTGCACTTCTCATCTGTTTGTGATATCGTAATGAAATAGATAAAAATGGAGCTTAGATATATTCATCCAAAGAAAGATGCTGATATTTCATCCTGATTACTTCAGCACTGAGCTTGAAGAAGATTCACATTAATCATACTGGGATCTTTAGGTATATCAAAGGAAGGAACTGAAAGGTTCTTACTATTTTTTATGACCAAAGTAACTTTGAAATTCAGTTCAGTAAGTTTTCTTTGGCAACTTACTCTGGGCTACTCAAGTATAATACTGGTAATAATACATGTTTAAAGTCAGTTTAGATTTCATGTACAATGCGTTATAGTTCCTGAATTACAACATATACATGCAATATAAATAGTCGTGATGTGTGACCTTCAAAGTAAGTCAAGGTACTTTTTCTCAAAATGAATGGTCTAAATGTATAAAGTGTATATCAATTATTTATTACATCAGGCATCAGTCTGCTTCTAGAGATAAATCATATGAAGTAATTTGACTACTTTGACCTTGAAAGAAGGTCAAATTCACTTCTTTTCACAAAATTTGCAGCACTCAACTCAAGGGTTTTTCTGGCCTTTAAGCATCTACTTAGAAAAGAATTATTGTAAGGTCATTATTTTGATTCCCATTCACACAGTTCTTTTGTCTTATTCCTATGTCAACCACATTAAACTTATAATACATCTAATCAAGCAATCACCATGTTACATGCAATTCTGTATTACAACTTAATCATATTACATTTTCTCTAAAATTCCAGCAATGAAAAAAACTAGTTTTTATCTCTAAAAATCATTTTCAACATACCAATTGGAACCTGTACTTTGACAACAAATCTTTTGTTTCTGAGGAATTCCATTTTCTGAGGGGCTTCACTGGCATTGCGCATGAAGACTTTGACATTAGGTTTCGTGGAGCCCATTACGCGGTAGAAGGAAGTCTGAATACCTTGTCCCTTCCTCTCATTAGCATGAAAGGGCCGAGCCACGACAAAACCTGTCATAACAGATACTCAAATATCATCATGTAATTCTAAGATTGTGACCATTATTATACAAAAAAACCACACAAAGTCCAGGGAAGTTTCACTAGCTGTATCCTGCATTCCTTTCAAGGTTTGTTACTGGTGTCAACAAGTCTGGTAAGTTTAAGACAGACAGTCTGATTGCTATCAAATCTTTTACCAAAAAATAAATTCCTGTGATCACAAGATACTGTACATTAAAAGGGAAATATTCATTCTGGTTTAATGGTATCATTTTACCTTCATTGTTATCATGATAGTGAGCTGGGCTCTTTTATACTTTTATCTTTTTTTACTATTTTATATGTTAACAACCATGCATGATATGTGCCAGATATCACAGTTGGTAGAACATCCTTAGGTGAAGATCCAAAGTGTGTGGCTCAATCCCTATATGGTTTGGTTTTTATTTCTCTAGAAGGTAATATCACAGACCATCCTGGGGTATTGTGACTGTGTTTTCTGACATTATAGCCCAATCACTTTATCTACAAGAAGTGGACCTCCACCAGCCACCAGCAACTACAAGCAGACCCCTCCCCAAAATTTCTTTGTCTGATCAACAGCTAATAAATCCAGCAAACAATCAAGACAAACAAACCAATGATACATAATTAACTCCTTCAAATTAATCTGGACCAAGAAATATTGTGATCAACACAGGAATTACTCACCTGAGCAAGCTATCCGATGCCCTCCTTCCTTCCAGTGCTTCACTTGACAATCTCGTTGACAATACATGGTCACATGACACCGACCACATCTCTTCAGTCCAGCCTTGGGAATCTGTTTACACCATGCACATATTGCATCTGGCAACACAGTCAGTATTGTGTTCGAATTTTAGTGTAAATTTGGAGCAGTGAAATAAAAGTTTAAGAACTTGTCAGTCTTAAATCAAAAACTGAATTCACTATTGTAATTTCTGAGCTCAGGAGTGAGATTTGACACACATAATAAACTTGGCATTTCAATAAAAATATTTGATATGTCAATTACCAAAATGAATGTAAATTCCAAACACACTGGTAAACAAGAGACCCACGGACCCTAAGGGTCATCTGAGTATGAAGACCTATATTTAAAAGAGGCCAACTAGTCCTTAAATAAATTGCTCAACTACACTACAGCTTACATAGAAGACATTGGTTGGTTTATAAAGGCATTTCTGGAAACCTGAAAACATGCACTTTACTAATGTAATTACTCCCGACAGATTGCTTGTTGAAAAAACATGCTACAGGCCCAATATCAAAACCCTTGGCCTTTTGGTTATTAAGAAGAAGTTGCTCATGCATTTCAACACATTTGACCCCTGTGACCTTGAAAGTGGTACAAGGTCATTCATATTAACAATTTTGGTAGCCCTTTCTTCCATCATGCTACAGGCCCAAAATCAGTAACCTGACCTACCGCTTATTGAAAAGTAGTCATTTGAATGGAAAGTTTATGCACAGCAAACAGCACACGATGCATGGCACATGAGGATGGACAAAATGTGATGGGTATAGGTCATCCTGACACTTCAGGTCAGATGACCTAAAAATCAACATGGAAGTGCCCATTACACATCAACATCAGAATTTGGCAATGAAAACTTTATCTGATAAGTGTTAAGAAAGAAAAATAAAAGACTGTTTGTTAATGACTGAAACAGTAAGTCAACTCAGGGCTCACTGGCAGAGTAACATAAACAATAGAAAGGATATGGTACAAACCTACTGTGTCTCTCTTGGCATCAAATACAATAATGGCATCGTGAAGGACCGCTTTGGTCTTGTCATCTTTTGCCAGCTCAAACGGAGTAGTTCCGTCTTCATCTTCTATCCGTGGGTCTCCATTCCATTCCAGCAGCAGCTTTAAACAATCTATTAAAGTACATTGATGACTGACATTAACTGACATTTTTCACTTTAAGTTTCATTAGGATCTTTAGTTCAAAAGTTTCATAGATTTTCTCTAAGATGTTTTTTACTGAAAACTAATACAGCTTTGAATAACAAAGCTTATAGCTATACTATCTAAATAACTTTAATACTTTAATGGTTTATCCAGAGAGCTCACATGTAAAACAACTTCATCATATTTCACTCATGTGACCTTAAAAGAGGGCCAAGTTAGTCAAGAATGAACTAAATTCATTAGGTCTTTGAAAGTCTTTCTGTCTTTCTAAATGAAAAGCTGGTGCAATTTCATGACATTTTGAAGGACCATAGCATTTCAATTACACCACTGGTACAAATAACTCATGACCTGAGACCACTTGGTTATAATAAAGTTATTGCAAGATTTTAGCAAATTTGTCCTTTGAAAATATATGTACCTAGTAGCACTTTGCAAGGTAAATATCACTACACTGGGCCTGTTGGTTATTATATATATTTCAATATATTGGAGCTCTTACATGAGATCATGACAATTGGTTTGGTCATTCACCAAAAGAACTAATTGTATTTCACCCCATTAATCTATCAGCCAAATATGACCCTCAGCCTATTTATTAGTTCAAAATAACAGGGAAGTGTTGAACTTATCATTTCATGGACAAATTTTTTCCTTTGAACAGGTTTGATAGCTTCATCTGATTATGCTATAATAACTCCAGGTCACTAGCCCATCAAACTGCTGAGCTATAATAATTTCCTTTCAATAAATAAGTTTCCAGAATAAAACTGAGAGATACCTAGGAAAATTACACATATAACATAAGCACTCCTTCAATTTTACCAATATTTCCCTGGAGAGATGCACCATGGAGTGGTGTGGCTCCACTGTGGGTTTTCACATTAACATCAGATTTTCCTTCCATTAATAGGTACCTGGCCACCTCCAAATTTGGGTACCGGCCTATAAAATACAATACATGTATATATAGAGTAAATGGAACTTGAGTAAATATATTTCAAATCATGCTCAAGGTATTTGGCAATTGCAAAATGTGTTGGATGTGACAGGACATCAGAAAAGTTAAGTCAATTATGGAATTCAAATTTTAACCAAAAAAAAAAAGACCAATTCCCATTTGCCTTTCCAAGTATGACATCTCTTCAAGAGAATAAATATATGCAATAAAACAGCTCAAACACCAGACTAAAAGCATGACCATTTTTCCTTTTTTGGTCACAGCTTCTTCACATGGAATCAAATACATTTCAAAAAGGACTGTAAAAGTATTTTCAGAAAGTATTTAAAATAGCACCACAAAAATCATTTTAAAAACCTATTAACAATGATCTTTGACAAATTAAACTTTTACATATATGCTTGGGATATAATGTTGTAATGATAACATTCAAAATGTCACTAACCAGTGGCTAGAAAGAGTGGAGTAAAGCCAAGTACATCTTGTGCACCTACATTTGCTCCATAACGTATCAACATACTCACTGCATGCAACTGAAGTAAAAATAAAAATGTTATCAAAATTCAATTATTTTTCCAAAGATTGTAATTAAATACCACAAACTGAATATATAGGGTCATATGTGAATTTGTTCTGATTTTAACGTTCTCTTAATCTGATTTTGAGCAAGTTGCTGTGGTTTGATTGGCATCAAAAATAGAATATCAATGGAAATTTGTGAATTCTTACACCCATTACCACCTTATCTTAAAAAATTGACAGCAAAGACACTATAATAAAACCTTAAAGTATACAATAATGGCCCATACGTTTTGGCAAGAAACAGCAAAATGTAGAGCTGTCATTCCTGCTTTGTCAGTCTCATTTATCTTTTCAGGTTCTGTATCCGACAGTATCTAAAATAAACATTGAAATACTTTGTTCAACACTCCTGCTATATAGAGTGTAGAAAAGAAAAAAAAATGAAAAGATAATGTTTTAATCGGTGACAGTGAATGTTAAAAGCAAATTACAAATCAATTAATTTTTTGCATGTTTCTTATTAAAAGTTCATCATTAACACATGAAAGCTTTTATTTAAAATCAGATATTATTGTCCTGTTTTACTCAAAGTTAATTTTACCTGTAAGTAATCCCTTAGAGCTGTAAAATCTCCAGCCTCTGAAGCATGACAAACAAGGGCGGACAACTCTGTCTCTGGTCCGTGGCGATACATTTCCAACTCTGACTTGCTCATATCAGTTATGCTTCTGTTTTCAGTATTAATTGATTTGTGCGCATTTGTTGTGTCCATCTTGGTGCTTCACTATCAGTGCTACAACTTTACAAGCCAAATCAAAAACACAAAATACTCCTACATGGCTTGTGTTCATAACACAATATAACTAAATGAATGAATGAATAAATAGATAAATAAATATATAAAAGTTCAGATCTACACCCAAATGTTGTGATTCAGAATTTATCGTGTGAGAGAATATTGCCAACTGAATCCCCTTATTTTCACGTAGGCCCCTACTACTCACCACTCAGGTCAAGTGTAGGTGTTGCTGCTCTGATGAAATTTTTCCTGGCAGTATATATGATGTCAGAAGAACGATAAAATGAGCGGAGATTAATAAAAAAAAACAAGCAACTTTCATCGGTATTGTGACTAGACGATATTGCTAGTTTATTGGCATTTCATGGAAAAGGAGACTAGGTTAATGAGGCAAGACTTTTCTCGATCGTTGACAAGTTCTGTTTTACGTTATGGAAAAATCACAAAGCAACCTCCGAATTAATATCGAAGTTCGAGTTTGCTGTTTACTATACCTTTTCTGATAATTTTCTCAATACGGTCAAAAGGGCTTGATAGTTGATAGTCTTGCCGGTTTTCCTTATAAAAATAAAGCCAGTCCCTTGTGTTCATCAGCTTCCGAGCACGAAGAAGGCCGCTTCAACCGTTGAGCAAAATGAATGTGTAAAAGTTTGTAATTATACTTACCTTTTACAGATGCAGCATATGCATTACAAATAAAAATAAACACAGATTAAAACAATTGAACATTAACAAAAAGGTGAAATATGTGGTGTTTATTTGCGAAGGCTGGCCCATGGCGTAGTAGCTCTTCTATTTACCTCCCTTTAAGAACAGAAGTGTAAAGGCGCGAAGTATTTATAACATTTAAAACAACCGGAAAGTTTTACAACAGAAGTGAAAAATCGCACGGACGCGTAAAAACGAAGAAGAAAGCAGCCGTTTGCAAGAGATTATATGAATGTATTTTTTTATGTCGCGAATTAAACCATGGACAAATTAGTAACGATTCCACCTTGTAATAATCACCCCTGCTGGTCCGGACGGAAGCGCTCAACGGGTCATAATGGGGGAGCAAACCTGAGTGTACAAGAAAGAAACCCAACTGGTCCGGCAGATGATCCCATAATTTCACGTCCGTTGCAGAAATCGAACCTCGGACGACTGGGTGGAGGGTGAGTGCGTTACCACAGCGTCTTACGACCCATCTATACTTTCGGACGATTTTGGTACTCCGTAAGGTGTGCGACTGTTTTGTCATGTTGAACACATGTAACTACAATATGATTCTACTTTGCTTGGAAATTATCATCAACGGACAAATATAATGTACATGTAGTATCGTGTAGAGAGAATTTCCGGAATAAAAGAACAAACACTGTTAGCGTTATGGTTTTGTTGGATGGCATTGTATAAGGTTTTCTCTGTAAGAACTGGATCTGATCGGATGAAGATTGAATCAGATCCGAAGTTTACCGACTTTTAGATAACTAAATTAGATATTCAAGGGCCTGTTCCCATTATCACTATTTCCGTGCAAGAAGTCCTCAACTGACTCGTAACTTAAGGGTTCAAAAGATGCAGGTTGATGAAAATTATGGGGAAGCTTTATGGTCGCCATAGTGATCTTTTTGAGAAAAATTCAGTTTCTTTGTGTGACATGAAGCTGGACGTGATTAATGCTTGTTAGTTTGCCTTTTGGTTCTGTTGTTGTATACCTTGTTCTTATTTGAGAACGTGACATTACTTACTTGGAATGACCAAGTTTTACATGGCTGGTGTCGTCGATGAAGCAGAAGACGCCAATTGTTCCGAAACACCTAGTCTTATTCTCCTTGTACTTTTTCAGGAGTCTCCGTGTAAATCTTTCTTTTGTTCATATTTTACCCTAGCTTTATGTGTTTTTTTAATTTTAATTGTGATTATGTTGCCATGTTGGTATTTTCTTGATGTTTTTGACCATCTGAAAATCAGGCATTTTTCAACAGCTTCAGATAATGTCATTTATCTGGTATTCGCATTAGGTACCGGACTGAAATAAAATCCTGTATCAGATTTAAGTTCTCACGGGACTTTAACCAATATGTGCTTTCCTCTGATCAATCCTTCAAAATCATTGTATATGATTTTCCTGAATTTTACAGATTGAAATGTCGCACTCCCTTTCGACGGCGTTTTAAAATTTGTTTAAACTTATTTGAAATCGTGTGTACAACCAATTATTTGTTCTTTATTGTTTAATTTTTAATTTCTCAGTGACTCGTATATATATGTGTGTTTGATTTATGATTCCTTTTTCATTGTTTGATTTTTTAATTTCTCAGATGTCTTGATTGCGCTAGCGTGTAGTTTATGACTTAGTTCTAACTATTAAATTTTGCTTTCTGAAGTGTCCTATGTATTCTACTCTCATTGTAAAACATTACATCCTTTTGTTATTAAATTTTCTAATTTCCCTGATTATCCAGCTGGATCGTTTGTGTGTGGTATTCAGTGTAATGAAAATACTCTAAACTCATTTGTGTGTGAATACCTTTGTACCAGATACAACAGTGTATCTGTTTACGCAAGAAGTGTTTTGTAAATTGTAAAAACCAATTGCTCATCCTGATCAATGAATTAAAGAAGTCAATTAAACACATCATGTGTGGCAGACATTGCAGTAATTATGATAGGACTGTGAAAGGCGAAATGATTTATATACAATGTAACTAGCCAAGTACTTCGTAACGACACTGGTTTAGGTAAAAAGGTTTGCCCATCGGTTTTTTCATCCGTAGTGTAACATGATACATGTGACGAGATACCCCGGATAGTGACACGTGTGGCGAGATACCCGGGATAGTGACAGTGTGACGAGATATCCGGGATAGTGACAGTGTGACGAGATATCCGGGATAGTGACACGTGTGACGATATACCCGGGATAGTGACACGTGTGGGGAGATATCCGGGATAGTGACACGTGTGGGGAGATACCCGGGATAGTGACAGTGTGACGAGATATCCGGGATAGTGACAGTGTGACGAGATATCCGGGATAGTGACACGTGTGACGATATACCCTGGATAGTGACACGTGTGGGGAGATATCCGGGATAGTGACACGTGTGACGAGATATCCGAGATAGTGACACGTGTAGGGAGATACCCCGGATAGTGACACGTGTGGGGAGATACCCGGGATAGTGACGTGTGACGAGATTGTTACTAGTTACTAGCTACACGTGGTCGTTACATGTATTACAAGATTGTTGTGGTACACGTTACAGTAACAGGATATGATAGTACTTACAAACTCCCAGCATTAGCAATCCTTATTACTAAGGATTAAGAAAGACAAGATGTCACTCCAAGCAAACGTAGGGCCAGCATTGAACGAATATATCTGGTATCGATAATGTAGACTCGGGGAACAAGATAGGATCTTCTTAGCAAGTTTTGTAAGACAATAAGAATAAATATGAAAACTTAAAAATATATAATAGTACAAAGAAAATTTAAAATCAAGTGACAATTTCATAGTTTATTTTAATAAACGTGTTTCATGAATTACGATTTCTATATACAAATGTTGAAAATAACATTATCATATAAGCAATACATTTCATCCACACTTCAGGCCACACTTGCAAGATGTTTCATTATATCATGTAAAAAGGATTTTGAACATTTTTTTAATGAATATATTGAGTTGCACCGTTTATACTTTCTTAAAACATTACGTTACTATTACTGTGGGGTAACTTCCCCTTCACGTCTGTATTTTCACATCCAGTCAGCCTATTTTATCAAACTAGATTCCCTTCTGTATTTACAAGTGTGAAATAGGATCCAGCTTCCTACTTAAACTATTCTTAAAGTTGCTATTTACTTGAGTTTCTTACGAACATCTTTAAAATGACTACTTTCGAGAAAAAATATGGAATTTTAACCAAAAATTCATAAAACTTCAGAAATTATTGCCGTGTCATGGAAACATTTTAAACAATGTATAGCGGCTACTTTCGATTACCTAAAAACACACTGAATTCTAATTGTCCCGTTTGCCTTTTTATGTAACAATTTGGATCTATTTCAACAACTATTAAAGCGCAAGTGACTAGATTGTCATTGATAGCAGTTTTCAATTCATAACGGCCAAATTTTGATACGCTCTATAATAAATTATTACGGCAACAAGTCTGAAATGGAATACAGATTTCAGCCAAAACGTTCAGTCTAGTGCTATATAATTCATCCAAAAAGCAAAAACTACCAAAATTGTACAAATGACCTACATTGATATAAAACACGGACAGTATGACTGGTGTTTACTCTGATGATGAAGATGACAGTGGTTTGATGTTTATTATTTTAAGTATAACTTTCCATGAAATTTAATAATGGCTAGTGCAAACGAACGCTTCACACTTATCACATCTGAATTTGAGATTTCACTTTATCCTTTGGTGATATATTGCGAAAATGACATGCCATTTGGAGTGTCTGTTTTCAAATCATTGTTCAAGATTTTAAACATTTCTCTCAATGACTCTAGATTGGTGTATGTATCTCAATACCCTTTCTAACTTACAGAGTAAATAAGCATTCGAACTGAACGTGCCTTTGTGTCCTAAAAGTAAATTTCAATATACGCCTATCGCCAATTTTTAAAATTTTGAATTCGTAAATGTTTTCTTTGACTATTAATAATTAGTTGTGCTCGTTTGGTAGAGAGAAAGTTTACACTTATGATGATAACAGTAATAATATGATTATATGATTCGCCCCAATATTGTCTCATCAGTTGATTGTGAAGTGCAATGAATACGGCCCATAGTTTCAGCTACTCAATCACCGACAACTCCTGGTCCTAAAAAAAACAATTAAAGTTCACTTTGTCTCTGACAATCCCTGCTTTTGACAAGTGTGAGTTGTTCTCTTCGTCAAGTCTAGACTGTATTGTTCCGAGGAATGCGTTAAAGTTTAGAATTCGACTCCTCATAAGCTGCATTGTCCGTGGCGTAAAGTCCGGGCGTGTGGTGCTCTGCTTTATACTCCTTCGACATGAAGAGTTCTTGGACTTCTTCTAGGGTCTTGTTCTTGGTTTCAGGAAGTACAGAGGCGATGGTAATCAGTCCTATTAAGGATATACCGGCGAACAGGTAGAAGGTACCTGAAAGTAAATAACTTATTAGTCTGAATGTTGGATTATGTCGAAGTAAGAAATACTATAGACCTGAGCTGGCTATAGCAATGGTCATTTTTGTTAAGACATTGCAACATCAGAGTAACAAGAGAGAGAATATAGGCGGCACTACTGCATCGTTAATGGAAATGTGTATCGCAGACAGGTATGTAAAGCCAAAACATGGAATGACCACATCCATTTCAACAGTTTTGTGCGTGAAATTTTGTTAATGGACAATATCATTGTACTACCGTATGTGGTGATCGCCTCCAGAAGCGACAGAAATGTCATGGACACAATGAGGTTGGCGATCCAGTTGATAGCAGTGGCAAGGGACGTGCCTGTACTTCTCGCCCATGTGGGATATATCTCAGAGTTGATCGTCCATGGCATAGGTCCTAGTCCTGTAACACACACCATAATCAAATACTTAACGCATTAGTTAGAGAACACCAGACAACAGTGCCGTAGACTCTACTACTGTAAAGTTCTTTATTATTCGAGGATGGAATAACGTCTCGATTATACATTGAAAATGGATGTAGTAAAGAGAACCATCGTTTGGTAATGATTTCCATAAAACGTACATTCTTTTGCTTCAAAGTTTTGTCAAGTCGCGAGAATTTTAAACAACGAATAAAGAACTTTTTTTTACAGTAACGTTTTCCAGAAACATTTTACAGTATTCCCTTAGGAAACATCACGATATCGACCATACTGAACTTAATACAAGGATACTTAGACATAGATAATATTAAGCTGAAGTCCTTTAATGATTTATTACAATAAACTTGAAAAGAAAAATTCCGAAAAAGACAAAGATTCAGAAACAATAACAAAAATTTCCCCTGTATGAAACTGATTCAGAATTTCAAATTCTTCAACGATGATCACAACAGAAGCTGTAATGTAAGATAATATATAGAATGAGTTAAAATTTAATCTTTTTAGTGAATGTTCAGGAACGTTAATGACGTAAAATCGATTGTATCATATTTATGGCGATGACACATTAATAAAAAATTAAAGGAGAAACGAGATTTAAGAGTTCTTGTTCACCTGGGGCGAATCCAATGACGAAAAGCGCAAGACCAAGAATTGCCATCCACGCGTAATCTGTCGGACAGAAATTATCAGCCCATGTGTACTTCGGCGTGTCCATGTTATAGTTATCCTCGTTACACCGGAACTCCGTACTGAAATCCGGATTAGCGTACCGCTCAGTGTGTTTTTCCATAGTGGGTAAACATGATCCACTAGACACATTGCCCTTCTCGAAGCAGTAGCCACAATCTTTGTCCGTTATACAATCATTGCAAAGTCTGTAAATGAAAATAAAGTCTTTCAGCAGGTAGATAGACTTATGTCCAAAGTCATGTGACTGATCTTTAGTAAAATCGGTGATAAAAATAACAAATCTAGTTTAAAACTTCCAAATGTTTATAATGAGGCGTTATGAATTTTATCGCCTTCGTCAGATACAGATTATCAAGAAATCACGGAGTTCTTGATGAAACGCCTTAGATTTATCTGAATACGTTCACGTTTTAGTGTTAATGATGAATATCCACACACCGATCCGATGATTTAGAAAACAAAAGGTTTCGTTCACCGATCAGTATGTAAGCACTTCCTTTGATGCGGAAACTGACGAGCAGGAGTTATATTAATACGTTAATGATGGCTCCGTCAGGCCCTCCCCCATTAGCACCCCCAACATTGCCACAATTACTTGGTTCTTAGAACACTTACGATATTGCACTACATTTGGTGTCATTAGATGTTTCTGATATGAAAACGTCTGGCGTGTGGATAACGGACAGCTGGAAACCCACTGCCAGAACTACAAGTGCTATTATGACTCCTGAAAATAAACATGATCTTTAGATTCAGACCAAGGCATTTTATACAGAGATGATAAATGGAACAACGCTGTATTCCTCATCTATAAAGTACAGTTATCAGACAAATGTCAATAACATTCAGGATTCCTTGCAGGAGGCTCGGGGTTTAGTAAACAAAGACAAGGAATGTAAACTGAATGACAACATGATTAGAAAAATAAATAAATTACAGTCATTGCTCACAAGGGCAGAATAGATTGATGCTACTGTTACAATGAGATATCTGGTGGGACGATTTAACATTGAACGTAAATGTGATCATAAGCGGATTCCCTTGACAATTATATCTTACCAACAAAACTAAGGAGGGTTAAAAGTTTCCGGCCCGATTTTTCCACTAAATAGATCCCTATAAAGGTACACAGCATGTTTACTGCATTCGGAACACACACCAACCAGATGGCCTGTTGAGACGGGAAACCTGCCATTCGGAGGATGCTGGCGCTATAGTATCTGTAGGGAGACATGATAATAAAAATATTACAGAAAACAAGAGAGCCATGGCCCTTTACAATCATCTGACAATCAATTGATGGATGGGAAAAGCACAGAATTTGCAGACCCCCTCTTTTTAATCATGAAAAGTATCATCGAACGTTTCTCTATCAAAACTTCAAAAGTTCAAAAAGCTAAATCAGGTGGACATCAGGTATCCAGCAGTGTTCAACAAGCTCGGCAGTTTGACATCCTTACCCATATCTGTGCGTGCCTGCGTGTGCGTTGGAGAATAGTTTGTTATCTAGAGGTGGAAAATACATAATTGCGAAATCGCGATCATCACACTTATCATACAACTTGGCGGAAACTCGTCCCTGTTAACATATAATCAACAGTCAAGTTTCACTTACATGACAGTGTTGATACCGCAAAGCTGCTGGAAAAACTGTAAAAGACAACCTATGACAAGTGCTCGGCGGACAGGCTGGGTCTTAAACATCAGCTGTAACGTCTTGCAGGCGTCTGAAATTTAGACCGAAAAGTCATGGACTTTTTTAAAATGTAGTCAGATAACTGAAGACAAAAGAAACTTATCAAAATGAAGAAAAGTAAGGTAACCTACACGTCTAAAATACAGAGTGAAATTAAAAAAAGACGTTTAAAATAAAGATCATATCTTAAATATAAACGGAAGAAGTCACAAAGACGTTGAAGCATAGACAAAGCAATGTCAAAAATACATAGGAAAGATAGACCAAGGTCACAAACACATCTGAAATATAGACAAATCCGATTGAAAGGCAGAAGCAGGTCACAAAGACGTCTGACTGATAGACAGAACCAGGTCACAATCACATCCGACGGATAGAACTAGATGACAAAGACATCCGATAGACAGAACTAGGTCACAAAGACATCTGATAGATAGAACTAGGTCACAAAGACATCTGATAGACAGAATTAGGTCACAAAGACATCTGAAAGACAGAGAAAAGACGATGAGACATCAAATATGTAGTATAGTCCTCGACCGAAAGATAAAAACTCAGTTCTATATAATAAATAATAAAACATGTAACCGGGTGAACTTAAATATTCAATAAACACAAACGATTCTGATTGTTGGAATCGTAAATGCTCCCGGGTTGTACTGACGGTTGCTCTTATTCTGTGAAGCCGACATTACTTACTTCCCTGTTGTTGCGAGCTTTCGTCCTCCACTGAAGCCTTTATCTGGTTAAACTCCGTGTCGACATCCTCTGTTTCTCTGATCTTCACCAAGGCGCTTCTAGCATCAGCTTCGCGACCTTTGGCCATCAACCAACGAGGACTCTCCGGCAGGAAGAAAAATCCAATGAACTGGATAACACTTGGAATACCAGCTAGACCCAACATGTACCTGTAGAAACATATCATAATATGTCTTATCATAAAGTTTCCAGGCAAAACTATGCAGATTTCTCGATTTCTCAGTTAAGAATGGATCGAAGATCGTAGTTGTAAGTTGAGCTCTGCATCAAAATTACAGTATATATATTTCATTTGCAAAGGACTCTTTTTCTATTGAAATTTCGTATATGTTGTTTTATCTAAAGCAGTTGATCAACACTTACACATGCTTCGCTGTAAAAAGGACATAGGAATTTAGAATTTTATACAGTAGAGTCAGAAAATGAATCAACCTGCATTGGACAGCTGTTTCGTCTTTCTATGATTCGTCAGTGAAGGACATAAATTGGTGTAACTTGGAGGCGACTAAGGCGAATCCAAAATGGTCGAAATAAATGTCGAAAATCACTTAATATTGAATTGATTTCATATTTTTTCAGTATTCAGAAATATATAAAAGATTGAAAAATTATCAAGATTGATCAAGAAGGTCATGTACTTTTATATATTCTGAACAGTGTCATTTTTTAAGGAGTTAAACAATCAGAATGAGGCACGTGTGTACAGGATAGCCACATAATGAAGAAAAGTGCATCATACAGCAATTTCATCTTTCATTACCAACCTCCAGCCATTTTCTTTGTCCTCGCTGAAAGCTCCGGCAACAACACTGGATATGAGGATACCGATGGTGATGAAGAGTTGGTTGAGAGTGACGAGCGCTCCTCGAATGGTAGGAGGGGCTGCCTCAGCCACGTACACAGGTACAGACATAGACGCGAAACCTGTCATATGTAACACATTTCTGTTATACACTTAAATAATATAGAATATATTATAATTGATAGTCTATAAAATGTGATATATCGATACACCTTACGTTATTTACCTGTTGGTTCTGTTGTTGTATACCTTTCACTCATTTGAGAACGTGACATCATTTACTTACTTACCTACAATATTTTCATGGCGATGATGCCTAAGACACTTATTCATCCTGTTATTTTCCGTACACTTTTTCAGCAGTCTCCCGTATTTTTTTTCCTGATTTTTTTTTATAATTTAATTAACATATGAACGACACAAGTGGGGAATTCAGTTAAATACGACGGGAATTTCATTTTCGCAAATATATTCCTAACAGTCATCACTTTAAAAAGATTATATTGTTTAATATTCCAAAACACTTGCACGATAAGTATGTTTGTCACTGTTAACGTAACTATAGACCTGGAACGTTGGACAATACAGTGCAAAAATCGTATCAGACAAACTTACAGGATTAATAGCAAGATGAAGAGTATAGTAGTTAACTTCACAAACTAACAGAGCTGAAATACAAGTTGATTCGAAGGTAATCCCCCACATCCGCACATCTCCTCCACTGCCGCACATCTCCTCCACACCCGCACAACTCGCTCACACCCGCACATCTCCTACACTGCCGCACATCTCTTCCACACCCGCAAATCTCCTCCTCACCCGCATATCTCCTTCACTGCCGCACATCTCCCTCACACCCGCAAATCTCCTATACACCCGCACATCTCCTCCACTGCCGCACATCTCCCTAACACCCGCAAATCTCCTCTACACCCGCACATCTCCTCCACACCCGCAAATCTCCTATACACCCGCACATCTCCCTCACACCCGCACATTTCCTCCACACCCGCACATCTCCTCCACACCCGCAAATCTCCTCCACACCCGCAAATCTCCTCCTCACCCGCATATCTCCTTCACTGCCGCACATCTCCCTCACACCCGCAAATCTCCTATACACCCGCACATCTCCTCCACTGCCGCACATCTCCCTAACACCCGCAAATCTCCTATACACCCGCACATCTCCTCCACACCTGCAAATCTCCTATACACCCGCACATCTCCTCCACACCCGCAAATCTCCTATACACCCGCACATCTCCCTCACACCCGCACATTTCCTCCACACCCGCACATCTCCACTACTGTCTTTCTTCGGCAAAACTAAAATTTTGAATTTATTCCCTCCGGTAAAAACAAACAACTTCTTCTCACAAGATAATTCCATTTGCGGTAGGTTTTTGCCATAACAGGTACTCCGGTGATGTTTCCTGTGGAATCAGCTGCTATCTAGAAACGACGTCATGATTACTAAAGTCAATGTACCTCTTCATACACGCTTATTTAAGCCTGAAGAACAGAAACAAGGAAGTTCTCGAACAAGTCAGTCACTGTCCTTGAAACCGATTCCAGAGACAACACCATGTGTCTGTGGTACAATGTTACTATGTTACTATGGTAACAAGATTTTGTCTTATCTTGCCTTTTTTGTTTGTTGTCCGGTTTCTGCCCGGCATATATTGATTCACAGATTCTTTCCTGGATAACTACAATTACGCAATATTTCTTAACAATCAAAGAGCTCCACAATGTTAAGGGATATACTTAAGAAAACATCATAAACTTGATTTTAAAAACAGGTTTACAATCTGATAAACTCTTTGATCTAGCTGTTAATATAGTTAAATACATGTATATATTAGTCTGTCCTCTATGTGTGATGACAAGAGTAATACGATGCTGAATGACAGAAGAAATACCGCAATAAACACTAATAAATACAGATAACTATAATCTTCTTATTGTATTCTATTCACAATTATATACTCTACCCAACAGTATAAGTATTATATAAAGGGTGCTATCTTTTTGATGCATGTGAACACAAGGTCGTATCCGAGGTTCAATGTATCTATCATACATGGGATTTGTAATATAAAATACAGTCCACACTCCATGTAGACTTCTCAAATTAAATGTTAACTAATTAGTGGGATCCCAGACTCAGTAATTCCAACTTCATGCATATTTTTTACGTATTATTTTTCGTATCAATATGAAGTTCATGGTGAATTCAACATTTTTGTCCAAGTGTCAAGCGCCCGCTTCTTCATTTTCATTTTTTGGGCATTTTCGAAATGACCGACAATGCCAATGACAAATTAATGGTCCATTTTTCGAAACGTTCATAATTTTCAAACGGTTCCTGTTTACTTGAACTTCTTATCTATTTTATAGTTATATCTTTTACAGTATTAGACGAAAATTAAATATTGTTTTTGTCTGTATGCTTGAATGGCAAAAATACAAGATGGTGACCAACTTTAGATTTATCTTTGATTGCGGTTTATAACTTAGTATTACTCTACAAAGAGGTTTGGTTTATAACTTGTTTTCGCGCAGTCGGAGCAAAATACAAACAAATGTGATTTGAGCAATTTTAGTGCCTCCTCGCCATGAAATGGCATGGGCAGCCTCACGGCGAGGGCATAACTGTATAATGAGAAGGCACGTGTCAAATAATCTTTCAGTTCTAGTCAACATCTTTTTTCCCAGTGAAATGGTCCTTAATAAATTACGCCCAGTTTCCACTTAATGCCACAGAGCATGCCGAAATATTGAATTAAGAGTGAATGTGGTTTTTTTTTTTTTTTTTGTGTTTTTGTTTTTGTTTTTTGTTTTTGTTTTTTTTTCTTTTATATATAAAGGAGCAACAGATCGGATATATAGCTGGGTCTAGTTAATTTATGATTTGTAAAGTTATGGCCCTTGAAAAATCAAGCTTATGCTCATTACCTCGGATGGGGATACTTTTTGTGACGGCGTGGTACTGAAACCAACTTTATAGTGCTAGCAACATGAAATACATTACAAAAGCTCCCAGGACACCCCGCCCTACCATATAACGGGTGAACAAATCGTTACGTTTACACTACTCTGTGTCGCTTATATAATGTCGCTTGTGTAGTTTCACAACCCATTTTTCAGACTAATGAATTCTGAAGATTGACTTACCAGGCCACTAGTCTGACGGACGAGTACCTTTTAGCTTTGTTTCACTATCAATTACATATTGATAAAAACTTGGGTATATGTACCATTCTTCTTGAATCAATTGGAATCGGCAACTAAAAAGGCAGTCATCTTGATTTTTTGGCATACAATGCTTCTCAAACCACCAACATCGGATTTCTGCACAACCCCACAGAACGATATGATTTATTTTCCTACTTAAGACTAGTTACCTACACTGTAATGTGTATATAGTTTGTTTAAGGATGGTTCATAATGGAACTCAAGCTACATTTCATATCTTTGTACATGTTTTTATAATATACAAACTATAGTATACGTGTATTTGATGTTTTCTTTCGTTCCGCCATTCTATCAAAGATAAACTGCAGTACAAGAAAAACCCTTTGAATGAAACTGAATACATCGATATATATTCCATGTGCCTCTGTCACATGTACAATGTAAATACGTCCGATTTTCATTTGGAGTATCATTATTTTTTCCCCAGTTTTTACGTCAAGTAGTTCCATGACGTGGTATATAAAATGACGTCACTTGTTTTCGTGTAGAAGCAAACGTTTTGAACATACATGTAATTTTAAAGGTACGATAGTAAATGAGATATGAATTGTATCAGCTGCTGAGTTGACCTTGAAGATAAACCATCATGCAGATCGACAAGCTGAGTAAACTCACCTATGCCCACTCCAACAATCAACCTGCCCACAAACAACACTTCCTTATCCGGCGCTATCCCCATCACCGCCGCCCCTAACGTGAACACCACACATGACCAAAGTATGGTGAACTTCCGTCCAAACTTGTCTGTAGTGACCCCTGCCACCAGGGAGAAAACTGAGGCTGTTACTATAGTACCGCTGACTATTAGTTGTTGCCATAGCGTAGATAAGGAGAATACGTCTCGAATGAGTAGCATGGAACCGGAAATGATACCAGTGTCATACCCAAACAGAAAGCCGCCGACAGTGGCGACACATGCCATATAAATCACATAAAAGTGACGTGGTTCCTTGTCTCCGAGGATCAAACGCTTGTCCTCTGTTTCCGCCATTCCAGATTTGTCGTAAATCTCTTAGAGTTGGCATTTTACTGAATGAAACTTCATGAAAATCATATTGTACGTCTGTGGTCATAGTTCAGTCCTGATGACACGAATCACCTCGGAGGTAATATTGTACACATATCGAAGGCTATTTTTATACGTGTTGTGTCTGTACTCCACGTATACACAGTTCAATATGTTACCTATCATAACACGGTGTCCTCATTTGACCAGACCACACTTAGAACATCGACAACCCGTGAAATATATCGCTATCTATTTTCTCAATCATACTCCAGAACACATTATTAAACCAGTGTTTCACGAAGCAGTCACTCGCATGTGTTTACGTTCAAGTAATATACATCTGCATGTCGATTTAAATTTCAATAGTGGGTCGATACACATTTACATACACGTAAACAAACTCAGGTAAGATTTTCGCTCGTATACACATCTGTGTTCCTACACAGCTGTGTTTGTAAATATATAGCCTCGATATGTGTCCTGTAAGTGTCACAAAAAGGCAGATATTTACCTGACTTTTAGTTTCACTTTAGTTTGAAAGTAATACTATTATTTGAATAATATTACCATATGGGTTACCTACATGTGCACATGCAATATATTAAACGAATATTAGTATTACGTTGAAAAGTGAAATCGAAATGTCATACATTCAAATAAATATATCTGACTGGAGAGTACGTGACATTTATTGAACAGCGAGATCGATAACATTACAGTAACAGTACTCAGCACGAGTGAGGTCACGCCCCACAAGTCATATAGTTCCCGAATAAAAACAAAGTTGAAATCTTGTGTTTTGATACATTAGAACATTTGTTGATGCCAATAAATTTGGTGAATATTATCAATTAGCAATGATAAGCGCTCGTCACCTTAAATGTTGGAGCCTCTGCCCTAAAGGGTATCATTCCGTACTATTGCATTTCCTTCTGCAGAGTTTGTTTTTATTTAAACTTTAATTGAAATTAAAGTTTCGAACCCAAGAATTTCTGTGCCGCAGACATTTGTCTATCAACAAGCACTAACACTGATGAATGTATCTGAACACATATGTAAACATTGGAGCACAAAACGGAAAAATAATGGTTCAATTAACGATTTCTATTATTGTATCTTCTACATACAATATACTGTCAAGTAAATAAAAAAAATTACACTTTGCCGGGAAACACAAATTGGTATTTGTGTCACTGTTCTGTGACTATGGATTTTAATGATAACTTCATCAACTGGAATTTTACTAGAACTAAGAAAATGACAAACACGTATGCTACAACAGCCATTTTTGTCATCGGTTTAGAAAACTTGTTATTAAGAATAAGATTACACACCATCAATTACATTTGACCATGTATAGGAATCCGAGTCTCGTGTTTATTCCCTGCAACTTATGTCTGTCTGCAACTGTGCAATCATAAATTCAAATGTGAAATTACTTTTATTCTGAATGAAAACCGTGTGATACTTTGGTCTTAGCTAAAAAAAATCTTGTTTTTGCCAAGACCTTGTTGGATGTTGGATTAGAAACATGTTTGGTCGTTGTTTACCGAGTTATTGTGACAGTTGGAAACAATATGAACTTCCGACTAATTCCATACGCATTGGACTTGTTTATCCATCGGCGATGATTGAATTATTGATTTATGATAATCGATGTATATCGCTTATATTGATTTAATTGATAAATGATTTTCGGCATCAGCTGATCATTACTGTCATCTGCTTGAGGTGTGTAAATTGCTTCCCGCAATCAGCTGATTTATCGCATTGAAATTGTTGAATTACATTAATTGGATGGGAACTGTTTCCCAGAATCAATTAATTAAAAATTGTAATTGATTGATGGCGTTTCATTATGGTCTATTTTAGACCGACCGTCATGCCTTTTCAATGAAGCTGCGACCATTTATCCAAATATGCATCTACTGAAAATCCGTACAATTTTCATTCTGATTTCACTGTCGCTTGTGAGATAATCTTTAGAGCGTGGATTTGTAAAATTATAGTTTAGCCCATTATTTCTAACATTAAAATGAATCCATATTGATCAAATTGATTATTTATGATATAGAATGAAATCTTCCATGTAATTCTGTTCCTTGTTATCTCCATTTTGTACTCAAAAATTCAGGTCCTTTGAGAGGTTATCATCAGAAATCTCTCCAGAATACATTTCAAGAAAATGGCAACATATCGACATAATCATAATCCAAACTCAAATTCAATAAAACTAGGGCAAAAGTGAAAAATAAACGTTACAAGGAGACTCCTGAAAAAGTACAAGGAGAATAAGACCAGGTGTTTTGGAAGAGTAAGCATTTTCTGCATCATCGACTACACCCGCCATGTAAATATTGGTCTATCAAAACATGTAATGTCATGTTCTCAAATAAGAACAAGGTACATAACAACGGAACCAACAAGCGAATTAACAAGCATCAAACACGTCCAGCTTCACATTGCATAAAAGAAATGAAAATATTTCTCAATGAGATTACTATGACGATGGTAAAATTTCCACACAAATCATCGATCTGCATCTTTCGAAACCCTGTATTACGAGTTTGTTCGTCAGTAGACGACTTCTTGCACGGAAATCGTGATAACGGGAACAGGTCCTTGAATATCGAATCCAGTGCGACATATGTAAATATCACATGTTTGGATGTGTATCTGTAGTATAACGTCGATGCTCGATATGAGCAGTGCTGGTGGTTTTGTGACTATGTTGTTTAAAGATGGCCTTCCTATCTATGTGAGGTGTGTGTGTATGTGGAAGACTGCGATTTCATGCAAGTCTTGTTATAGTCAGATGATGAGTAGTTGATAGTGTTGAACCAAAGTTTCGAAATATATAACAAAAAGGCCCCAGCAGAACAACCCACCCGTCCCTCTACACTAACAATAGTTCTGTTGGTAAGTTAACAATCTCCAGGAAAAAACTTATTTAGGATCGAAGTAGTTCTTGATCTACCAACTCTCTGTGAACGGTTTCTCCAAAATCCAATACTCTGACGTCAGATAAGAGTTGCAAAGATAGTTTAGAGATTAAGTAAAGAATTGAAGGCTATCTCCCTGCAGACATACGTAAACATGTCACATTTATTACATGTGTCGGTATTCGCCCACAACACCCAATATATAAAAAATGTTGCATATTACTGTTGCCAGGAACCTTTATTTGCGACACGCCCTTTTGATATGCTCGTTTGTTTACTTTTTACTACTTTGTTAATGTTGCTGATGGTTTGTATCGTCAGGAATTTGACCATTATATCTTCATTAGTTTCCTTTCTTGACTTTTCATGTTGGCAATAACAAACTTTTTTTTTTGTTGTGTTTCATACAAAAGAATATAATGCAAATACAAAACAGAATTAAAAACTAGTGAGTCGTTTGATAGCAACAGAATTCAAACTATCTGTTCTGACTCCAAATTGGACAAGATTAACCTATTTAGCATGCTGAAATAGAAAATTATACGACTGTTATCAATCAGATTATCCATATCCCTATTTTGTAAACGATGTTAAGGATATTGGTATAACTAGCACTGCCACACAAAGATAGGATTTCGAATGGTAATAATAGCAACAGTAATAAGTTATATAATTCATTGACTGAGATTGTCAGTAAAGACCCTTAGATGGTACATTTGTATATGTAATGAAAAATATATCAAGGATATAAAGTGAATTACAGCAAATACTAGATATATATTAGAGATATGGCGAATGATGGAGGTGCTTGATAAGTATGACACATGATAAAAAAGGTCACTTGAGGAGCTGGTATGGTAGTGATATAGATGGATTATCAGAAACACGGTACAAGATAGACAGAATGTTAATATGTTAGATAGAGATGGTAGATCAACAGTATACCGGTACTGATAAAGAATCGGGGTATATAAATATCACCAATCAAAGTGTTATTAAACATAAATTTATATATCACCATATGCCATCTTAGTATGATAACTGTTGTAGTTGTATCGGAACACTAATTAAAGATTTGCGATCAATTTGACATTCTGGTATTCGTTCGAATGACGTTTACGAAAAACACTAAGAAAATGCTAACATATAAACGCACTAACAACCCAAATTCAAATTCAATAAAACGTAGGCAAAATAAAAAAAAATAGAAAGATTTACACGGACACTACTGAATAAAGTACAAGGAGAATAAGACCAGGTGATCTAGAAGAGGAAGCGTCTTGTGCTTCACCGACGACACTCGCCATGAAATTTATGTTTTGTAATAGCACATAGCATTGAGGATTTATGTCCCGTTGGAAGAAGATACGGTTCTTATTTGGGAACGCGACATCCTTGGACTGAGCAAGATTTACATGACGGAATCGTCGATGAAACAGAAGATGCTGATCATTCCGGACCACCTGGTCTTATTCTCTATGTGTGTTTTTTCAGTTTACGCATTCTTTCATCAATCGTTAAAAAATATATGAAATATCATCTTCAATCATACACATAAGTTCGTAGAGTTTGCTGCACACGCGTTTTGTGAATGGTAGCGATTCGGCAAACAAGTACAGTAAACACTATTATCTATCTCTCGTGATAGATACAGAAACGTTCATAGTGCATTCGGTATAACCCAAGCACTACCTGTTTCAACAGTATATAGATTGAAAATGTAGTGATATCGCGACGACTATAAACTTGTATTATTGTTAAAAACATAATGGGGTTGCAATAGCTGTTAAACCATCACTATGAAGGCAAATCCACTGGCATCATTACAATTTTAGGCACAATTTCATACACAAAACCCTATTAAAAAGCGATTTTTGACTACAGTAATACGTTAATAAAATTGTGACTTACCAATGCCCATGCCGACGATAAGTCGGCCGACCAATAGAACTATTTTGTCGTTAGCAACCGCCATTACAACAGCTCCAATTGTGAAGACGAAGCTAGCCAACATGACGACAACTTTTCGTCCGAATGCAT